AATACCGCAGTCAGGTTTCGCGCCAGCCTGCTGCGATGCAATGATTTACACCAAATGATAAACACTGATAACACTTAGAGGCAATTTTTAGCATAAACATTATCTTGTAAAACATTGCAGTGGCGGCGCGTGGTCATTTTGATGACCGGGGCAAGCTACTGCGGGACCAAGTCACCCCCATCTACGGGGACAGGATGAGCGCTGTAAGTTTTCCCATCATTTTATGAGTATAAAAACCATTCCATCGGTAACAACCAATCGGCAAAAGCGACAAACTTTAACGATAAGAAAGTGTCTTTAAAACCGGTCCAAGTCAAGGGATTAATAAATATAGACATAGTTTATTTTGAAACCTCTTTCAAAAGGAAAGGCAATATTTACCCAGATAAATACAATGACATATTAACAGAAACTTCGGGGAAACAGACAAAACCTAAAATAAGGTTTAAAACGTTACTATGAAGAAAGGAAAGTTATGCAAAGATAAGGACATGCGTCGCTCACTCATAGATATATATGCTGCTAGACTTCTACTGCTTGAACATATATGCAACACGCCGCGGTTTCTTGGAAGCAAAATGCTCAATAACGCGCTGATTAAAGTCATGCATCCCAGAAATACCGTCTCTGTGAATGGATAAAACAGCCAAGGAATTTAATCTATCTTGCTTCATTGTGTTTCTGAGATACGTTTTATAACGCTTCAGCGTGCTGAATGTTCGCTCTGCGTCGGCGGAAGAAATAGGCGTCGTCAAAATGATGTCCAGAAATTTTGCAGACGCCGCAAAGGTAGTTACTAGAGTGTTATCTATGAGGAACCCATAGAGCGCGCAAGTTGATGTGATGTTCAAAAAAGTTTGATTGGTGTATATACATCGCAATTCATTTTCCAATTTACCCACGTTTATCATGGGGTAAAATTTGGAGACAGTAGCCAACAAATGGATGGGAAATTGACGTGCAAATTTTGAAAAATTTTTGGGGTTCATTAAAGAGAACGCGGCAAGGTGTTCAGTGCGCAGACGATCGCCTATTTGATTCACCAGAATGTCACAGCATTCCTTTGCAGACAAAATCAAACGCTGCGTTGTTTGCCCGCGGCGTAAAGAAGCACTCCATGTGTTGTCGTATTTTATTGTTTCCCGGATTCGAGATACAGCATCGCAGAAGTCTGAAATACACGACTGCACAGACGCTCCATCCATTAGCCTTGACTGCAATGCGCCGTGTAATACATCCACGTGATAGAATATTGTGGAGAAAAAAGCGAGAGAAAATGAAAACTCACCATCTTCTAGCAGACGCTTTAGACCTGCCGCCTCCCTCACAGAGCGTTCGTCCCAAACCGGAGAGCTCTGAATGCCATTGAAACACTCAATGAGATCAGACCTAGTTTCGGACACGCCCTGCACCACGCGTGATTGGAAGTTCCAACGTGTTGGTGCACAAGCTGGGAGACGGCGGCTACATATCTGGCGAAGGAGGTCAGAGCGCTTCGGCGAAACGGAAAAAAATGAAGAAAACCCCGAAACATTTGCAAAAAATATACGGACGAGAGGGGTATCAAGACACATATTTTTAATAACGAGGTTAAATTGGTGTGCATAACAATGTAAAAAATGCGCATGAGGAAAATCTTCTTTTATATAAACTTGAACACCATGTTTCGACCCACTCATGACTGCCGCGCCGTCATAAGTTTGAGCTATCAATTTTGACTTCGCGTTGTAAGGCTGTAACACTTCTTTCAGTACAGCCGATATCCCGCAAGCCGTGCGATCAACGATTGGTACAAAGCTGTGAAATCTCTCGGTAGGTTTACCATCTTTCACAAACCGAAAAATCACAGCCAGTTGGGAAACGCACGTGATATCAGTTGTCTCGTCAGACTGAATCGAAAGGAACTGGCAATTCTCAATTTCCAGAGCCAAATGTTGTAAATAAATTTTATACATTGAGTCGAGCAAATCCTTTTGGATATCCTTAGATGTCCCTTTCGAAACAGTTGCGGCATCAAGATGATCTCTCAATACTGTATCTAGGGATGCGGTGTATTCCACCATATCTAAAAATACCCCTCTATTAGAAGAGCCAGCCCGTTCATCGTGCCCACGGAGGGACAGCTCGTGACAACCAATGAACTTCAAAACATCTATCAATCGACCGAGAACATGGCGGTTTTTCTCGACGTTTTGGTTGTGCCGACGAATAGAAACCGCGCGTCCTTCATCCATCTGTGCTGCAATATTAACATTTCCGAATGTTCGGTATTTTACTGCATTGTCCAGATGCTCCATAGAAGATTGATGATCCCTGGCACGCTCGGAAAGATGTTTAAGATCTTTAAAACCAAATTTACACCAACGTGAGTCACGGGCGGTAGCAAAAAGTAGGCAATAAAAACAAAAAAGTGCATTTTTGTCCTCGCTGTAACACAACCATTCGTGTTTTTTATACCAAGTTTCTGCGCAGAATGTACGCCGACGCTTTCCTCCGTCATGGGATTGTTCCAGTGAACAATTTTTTGGTTGATAAGGCCCAAGACGTTGTACCTCTAATTTTTGTTCCAGCGGCAGCTGCGAAAACGGAGTGCGAAGTAGTGCATCAACCTTATTCATTATGAGGTCTAAGGCTAAGAAATGCGAAGCCGGAAAGAAGTGAGGAGCTCAAAAGGAATGTAGAAAATCGAAAGCAAATGGACTGAAGGTCCCTAACTGATTCAAATAGCGAAACAAGCGACAAAAACGAAGGCGAGGAAACTATCAACTCTTCAAGCAACCAACGAACGAGAAGGAATGCGTGAATATGTCAACACGTTGTTGTAAGAAACGTCGGCATTGTGTCGTCATAATTTCGGGGCCAGCCCCGATGATTTAGTAAAAGAAACAGAAAACAAACGAGACAATCGCGGCGAGTGGAAGATAAAAGAGAGAATACGATATACAATGAGCAACCGGGGCAAAATCGGCGTCGCCACGTCGACGTTCGGCGAAGGCTTTGCGAGCGAAAAACGAACCATGTCGGGAGAATATGGCTAGTGTAGACAGTCTGTGCAACCGATATTGAGGTATTTTTCGAATATTTTTTATTATACCGAAAAAACAACGGGGGCATTGCCCCGGTTGGCCCTATTGACGCGCCGCCACTGTAAAACAGTATTGTTTTACGGCGTATTGTGGTAGCCCCGAATAAATTCGAATACTCATTTCGTTTTAAAACGTAAACTATTCCGAAGTTGAAGATCTCTGTGAAGGAATTGACATGGAAGCAGAGAACTCTTACATCGTAAAGCATCATCACGTATAACAAGTCATTGTCTTGTCCCTACATTTGTTTGAAAGTTCGAACCATTACTTCATACAAATCTGGATTGTTTCAATTTTATATCGACAAAATTAACCGTCTTTTATGAAGAATATAATAGATTCCATGCATGGTGCGTGAGTGGACCATATATTTAGATAGATATGGTGCGCAGAGGCGTCTCATTTCGTCTACGAACGGAGTACCATTCTGAAGGGAAAGACATAAACCAGATCACATGACTCAATCTTCAATCGCAAAAGCCAGTCATCCCGTTCGATATCGTTGCCACGCCTTACCATGTAATATATTTCAGTTTATCATTTTGTAATATATCCAGGCAAATGCGAGAAGTGGAGCTTTCATTTTACAGTCTTAGCAGTCGGATTTACATATGAGTAAGTAAAAAAGGTTTACTTGAAATGAAGAAGTTTACACTTAGAAAGCAAAAACAAAAGAACAAGTAAGACTAAAATATATAAGACTGAGGAAAATATATGAATTTATTATCCACGGCGTCGCCATAATAGAGTGAAGTCCAGTGTTTCGAGATTAGATGTTTTCCATAACATAACAATCCACTGAAAGTAGTAACGAAAAAAAAAATCTACTTTTTCAAAAATGTTATACTATTTGAAGGCATGTCGGATAAAAATATATTCATTGCAAATAATATTCAAATAAATGTTTCCCACAATACTTGACCTTCAATTTTGGAAAGCACCCCACACCATCAAACTAATAACACGCTAATAAATTTGCGTTCTTCTGCTGTAACTCCTCCTCCACAATCCGCAAAAAAATTGGTACGAAATATATGGAACGACTGCAGTTTTGAAGCAAATCTTCCGTGATATTCAAATTTTCTGTGATAGTTTTTCTGGTAAAATATCGTGTTCTAGCGACATCTTCTATCCTGTGAGTGTAAGACTGTAAGTATTAAAATTTAAAAAGAAATTTGTTCGCAGCAACAAAATTCATGATAAATTAGCAAAAAGACCTCTCTACTTCAGGTCCATTTATATATTTTGTTACGCACATGGAACCCAATTCTGAATAGATATACATGGTGAAACTTTAATTTGAGTTTCGCTGAAAACTCCTTTCGCAACCATGCTGATGATGTTGTTTTGTCAAAACATTGGAATTTCAAAATGATTAAAATCTTGAGAAAATTGACGGGAGTGGAAAATGAATCACGAAATCGGTGTGGAATGTATCTAGTTGAAAACTTCATTAAATATGGTATTGTTGAAAAGAGCGGTTTCTCCGGTGCGAAAATTCGCAGTAAATTGGCATGAATTTTTGAGTAATTTTTCCCTGCCATTCAGCTGAGTGATATTATCTTCTACAGGACATAAATATCCTGCAATGGCTGATGATTCTTATGACTGTGCTTGACAAAAAAAAACGATATACATGTGTAATAATCAAATAAAAGATTTCAGATACTGGACATCTATGGAGATTACGTCGTGTGTTTTAATATGAGACACTCGAATTTTAGGGAGTAGAAAAATGAACAAAGTATAGCAGTGGAATTTTTATGGCAGTGTTCTACAGTAACGCATCTTATAAAGAACTACTAGTTTGTGGTATATTATATATATGGGAGCGTTCACTTAAAATTCTGTCATGAATTTTAGGCATAGAGTTACTTCTGTCAATTATTAAGTTTAAGAGTGTTAAATCTTGTTAGTTTTTGTTTTTGTCTAGAAATATATTTTAAAATATATATTACAGTTACTGCTGTTCTGAGTTATAAAAACTTGAAAAATGTCAGCGAATGAAATAGTATGTGTGTGCTTCATTGCCATAGGTTTCATTGGAGTCATCATAGCAATAGCAAATCCTGCATGGGAGAAGTCAGATTTGCAATCTTTGGCAACACCAACTTCACAAAAAGTGAGTTTTTTCTAAAATCATATTTATATTGAACATGTACAAATGTATATACTTTGCTGAACTTCAGTTTCGCGAATATATATATTAGTAATAGATTCATCGTTGGTCTTAATAACGCCAATAAATTGAGAGGTTATGGTTATATTTACAATCTATTACAAAGTTGGGATCTCCTGAAGTATCCGCATCAAGATGGCGCACAACCTGAACTCACTTGTGTACCAGGTTAGGGTTCAGGTCGCAGGACATCTTGGTGCGCATGCTTCAGGAGTACCCAAAATTGTCTATTTCACGTTATTGCAAACGGGCATGCGTCAGTTCTATCTTTTAATATAATCTGTGTTCTGGTGTTACGACAACATTTTTCTGCCTTAAATAAAGCGAGAATTCAAGTACATGGAGTTCATCGAGCGATGATTTGATTGATACAGTAATACGGTCACTGTGGCCTTTTTTGAATGATAATACAGGGCAAGTTTCCCTTTATTTGAAAGCTGTGAAACCAAGACAATAAACAATTTATTTTGTATTTTTATTAATCTGAAAACGATTTTTTGCACAGTATAAAGGGCTTTGGCTGAGCTGCAAAAGTGATTCTTCGATTCGAGTATCTTGTTGGCCATACATTGGATTTTTTGCCGGAATTGACGTTAAGATTCAAGCAGGTGAATGTTTGTAGCAAGGACGCAGCCAGGATTTTCAAAAGGGGCGTCACAAAATCAGAAATTCCCATGCGTCTTGTGAAACGGTCGTTCCGATTCAACGTCTTTAAAAGGGCCGACTTTTTCAGCGTTTAATGACTTTTCTGTCACGTAATATTCAATTCAAGACAACTACGTGAATTTAAAATGTCCTTCCATATAAATTAAATTGTGTTCAACGTAACTTGCGGTTGCGTCGACAAAATAAAAGCATTACTTCAGCGAATTCGTAATCGGCGTTACAAAAATCCCGAGATCTGCAATCTAATCCCAGAGAGTGCAATTTAATTTAGTACGATATAAATACCCATAAAGTATATCAAAAGTAACCCTTCGTCGCCTCGAAATCCCTGCGGAACGACTTCTGAAACAGTCGTCGCGATAAAGCCTTTTGGTAATAGACGATTTTTCAACGGATATAACATAAAATAGTGATTTTTTGTAGCGTAAAATACTCAATCCATGACCGATACGTGCCTATTCAAAATGTCTTGGTTTATTAATCTAATTGTATTTAATTTAACCTGCGGTAGCGTCGAAAAAATGAAGCATTACTGCTCAAAATCTGCGGACATAAAAATGTGTGGTAAAGTGTCCGATTATATCCTGTTTTGATTCGTATTTTTGAGAATTCGCCATATTTGAGCTGTTTTTAGAACATCGACTCCGCTACAATCTAGAAAATTTGGGTCGCAAATTCACTCCTATATTTCATCTCGTCGCTGATGATTATATAATAACTTTCTCCCACTGGAGTCAACATTTTCGTGCGAGAACCAAAAAAAGTAATTATCAACGTCCCCGTATCAAAGACATGTGTCGTCGGATATTTGTGATTTAGGGAGATCAAACGTCGAAATAAAGATTACGGACTGAATAACACGTCACGCTGACGAAAACAATCGACGATTTTAACAAAATGCAATCGCATGCGTTATCAGCGACTATTTCATTCTTTCCAAAATGTTAAAGGGGGCTGCGCCACTGGTTTTTAGTGTCACTAATCTTGCGAATTATCGTAGTTATATCATTTTATAAGCTCTGCAATTCTAATTAATGTTCCCCATGGAATCAATATAGTTCAAAGCAAGGACTAACAGCAATCTATATTTTTCTAGCGAATATTGTTTACTCAGGTTATATAGTAGCTGTTTATCATGTTAAACACGTAGCAAACAATATGGTATACAATACATGATATATATATATTAGTATTTGTAAATTTTTTCTGGTCACCGCGGCTCCATATACAATTTAGCAACCTCAAAAAAAAAAAAAACTGCCGGCTTTAGATATATCCAACATACGGGCTAGTTAGCTAACCCACTGGTCCAAACCGGTTACGTATCAAGCCTTATAGAATTTGGTTGGTTGTCAAATGCACTACGTGTTTAGTATGTTTGTATATATATATATATAATTGGTTGCTAACCACATATGAAGTAAACTATCCCCAATATGGCCACACGTAACATATTTTTGAATAAACATTTTTAATCAACTTTCGTTTCACATGGGGCATATAACTAACAATCAGTAAATATTTTCAGCTCGTGCCTGTTGTATCGCCGCTTTGGCATTCTCCCTGTTTTCTCTCATACTCTGTCTTATCTCAGTGACAGGAATGCCGTGTGCGAATGAATATGAATCGACAAGGGTAATTTAAAATATTGTAGAAATTTTTTGAAGTCATTGTATTTATACTGCATAAAAATCTTTCCACTGTGATGACCATTCTTTGCAGTTGATTAGTCAATTTAGAATTAATTGATTAATCTTTTGTCAAATAATCGAAAATATTGTCGCTTGTTGAAGTGAAATCCGCTCCTGGCGAGTGCGGTTATATATACAGTATATAATTCTAAACGTGGATAACTTGTTCGTGAAAATTTATTCGTTTCAAACCACCAGAGATCAGGCTCTGGTATAGTCAACAGTTTATAATAATTTATTACCATTGACTCGTAACTAAGTTCGCGTATATAAATTTATTTCCAGAATCGTATTCGGCTAGCTGGATCTGGACTTGGCTTTGCAGGCGGACTATGTATGGTAGTTGGGGCATCCTGGTATGCGGCTAGCACTCTCAATGAATACTATAGATTAGTAGCGACAAATCCAGGGTAAGAAACACGGCAAGCTTGTACTCATTATGTATTTCTGATTTCCGAAATACGATATCGTATATATATGTATATATATCGAGTTTACGCACAACCGAAGATCCAAAATACTAACGTCTGTATCAATTTATTGTTTATGAATCTAACTGCACAAAAATTATTTATTTTTCAGTTCGGAACGATTGGTCATAGGCGTTGGTGTCTTTATTGCGTGGGGTGCAGGATTATTCCTAAATATTGGCGGAATATTCGGAGCTTGTATATCTTGCCGAAATGAAGAAGACGACGTCAGAGAAATGCCGAGAAGAATGGTTACCAGTGGACATATCAGAGGCATTGAAAAGGAATACGTGTAGATTCCTAATTCATAAACAGTCAACTCAAAATATGGAATTGCAATCAATTTTAATTAGCTAACTAATCAAACTTTATGATAAGGTCCAATTACTGATGAATTGACTGTGCTTGAATAAAATGGTAACACCTTGACATAAAGACGACTTTTTTTATGGCTTGAAACTAATATGAAATTTATTTCTCGCACGGAAAAGTTGACATTCAGAAAAGTGTTATTATTTGATTTTTTCTTATACATAGTATTTTGTAGTGCGGGTGTTCCCGTTTGCTCGCGGAATGCGCCCTCACAATGCATTCACTTTGGCTTATATTTTTCGCATTTACCATAAATTTTTTACTTTGTAAAAATGGTCTGCGCATTTTAATATGGCTACATGCATTTTGACATCCTCCTTTGTAAATCCATGCGTTGAACAAAGCCAAAATGAAAACATACATAACTACTTTGACCTAGTCCAAAAATCTTTTTATCAGAAAAATTCTTTCTTGAATATTTTGATGATTAGTTTGGAAATATTTTCACTAGTTGGCGCGTACAATCTGATGTACAAGTTCCTTGTTGTTTTGATTCAAAATATTTAACCACCTGGAATATAAATGTACTGAAAGCTACTTTTTGCCCGGTATAAAGCAGCGCTATCTGAACTAATCTTTTCTTCTCGCAAGCGAAAATGGCCATTGAGATATTTGATTCATATAATTCTGAAACATATCTAAAAACTGACAAAAAGCTATCAAAACTATTTCGGCTCCGGCTGGAAGTTGCGTTATATGTAATTACTATATACGCAGCAAAACATTCATTACTTAAAAAACAACAAATTACAACCGCCTCCCACAATCCCTCACCAATTTGCTAGACTTTCAAGTATTAGCGCGAAGTATTTAAATGTAATTAAATAAATCCTAAAATGAAGTATGACAGTTTCATTGTGTATACACGAGCTGTCACCACCAACATGTCCAATATTATGACCCAAGTGTTAGCTTGTTATGAGGAATATCGGTATGTCATGATATTTGGTTGCCTATTAAAATATTTCAACTTCTCACATTTTGCTTAAATATATAGCTGTATACTTTGCCTAAGATTGCCTGATTGTTTTTGTTGTCAGATTCAAAAGTAAAAAGCGTTCTATTTAGAAGAATATATACAAAACAATAATATAGAAGTTAGCACTCGGATCGCTTCTGGCAGATACAATTCCCGAACATCTATACTGTCGCGTGTGTTGATTTTTACAATTTTAATTAATTTTCTTTCGAAGGTTTAGTGGAATCTAATGTTGTGGAAGTGAAAATGATTCTCACTGTGTCTGTTTGACAATTTCATTCTTTACCCGTGCGGAAGTAACGCCCTTTAACACCGAGAATCTGTGAATGCGATGAATACATTCTGACCGTGATGTCCGGCTTGTAGATAATTAACTGACTGTATTTCTAAATTTTTTCGCGTTTCTGTCCACTATGATTGCCACTGACGTTAGGTCTCGCTGTTTAGCGTTAGCTACTGCTTGCTATATATTTAAAGGATTTTCTGTCAACTACACGTCTACGGCTGTAGGACAAACATTCTCCATTGCCCTTAGGAGAAGTAAACAAACAGCCGACGTATCAATATTAATAATAAACTTAAACTAGACATCCAACCAGGTTCAGAAATCCAAACATTACTTTGACCTAAATCCTAAACGAAAAGGCGGTTGCCAATGCAAAGCGCATCCTGAAACGACGAACCGACCATACCTTGAGTTTGGGACGGTCAAGGGGTCGTAAAAATCACAAAACGCGGGATCGTGGCACGTAGCATCTATGTGATGTCATATTTGGCACAGTATTTAATGACCCGTGACATTAACGGGTCAAATACAAGTTGATGATTACAGCCTGGTATCATCAACCAATGAGAGTATATATTCTGATTGATTGCATCAACCGAAAGACGATTTGCGTAACCCGACAAGACTCGAGTTCACACGAGAAAAATGTTTCAAATTGCTTTCCTCCACCCTGCTTGTATGTTCGGATAAGCCCCAATAGGCAGTAGTTTCTGTATCTATTTTAAATTTCTGCTCATACAGAGGGATGAAGCAAAGGTCACTAGAGTAATATGTATAGGATGCTCGAACAATCAATTACTTAGGAATAACATAATATGTTATAGACGTACCGGTACTGTGATACTGGCAGACTGAGTTTGCGTTTGGCAGCAGTACCGTAGTATGACACAATGGAGGTTCATGTATGAAGCCGAATTCGTTTCTGATGTGCTTGTTACGCAAGAAATATAGTGTCCCATTGAGTGATACAAATGGTAATATGAAGTAACAGTAACGTTCCAGTAATATTTAAACGTAAAAAGATTCAGCTCATTTTAATCCTGGCTTGCCAAGATTTTAGTAACCGCCAATACCGAAATGGCATTATTCAAATATACTAATATTTGTTTTGAACTTGTAGTTTTTCGGTCCTAATATCTCATACAACTAGCAGCCTATCCAACAGAAAAACACTAAACGCACTACTCTCTTGGCTGTAATGCGAAATAAAAATCTTATCCACGTCACCAGCGATACAAATCCTACCTTTAACATTGGGTTGTCAACAATGTTAAAGCGGAATTCATATTTGGGTTACCGAATAATTCCGGAACAAACATTGTTATCAGAATCTGTCATACAAACACTATTTGGCCAAAAAAATCGTCAAGCATTCTGATAACCCGCCTTCGGTGACTTAGCGATTGCACAGTTTTAATGGCCTTTCCCGCTACTGTACAACTGAATAAAGTGTGCCGATCTTATCAGGGGTTAGGGATAACTTAGATTTAGAGAAGCAGGTCATAGCCAAATTTAATGAATCGAATTCTTGACATTACCCTGCGCCGACTCAGTTTCAGCACGAGGTTCAAGCTTTCAACATATAAAAGAATTATTCCGCCAATCGTTTTGCAATTATGAGGTTTGTGGATTTCGCTCGTTGTGATAACTTTAAGAAAATATATGTTGAAATATCACGAACGTCCATAACTACTGCTGCGTGGTCGGGAATCCTATATTCATTTCAAAACGCACTTACTACTTCTGGCTCTTATATGCACAGCAGCACAAATTTTCCATTTAAATTTATTATTGTGAAGCTAGTTTCCTTGTTCATGTTGTGTATATGAATATATTTTTTTATGTTTCTCTACTATGTTGCTGACCCCTTAATTGATGCTGTAATCATCTGAATTTGTATTATGACTTATGAGACTTCGACCACCCAGTGGCCTAGACGTGGGAGAGAGAATGTTTTTCTTGTTCACTTCTTCGGCCGTTGACCTGGCTGTCGGCCGCTTTTTAGTTATGTCTGATGCTTACGCTATCTAATTTGTCGAAGGTGCTGTTTTCAGTAAATACCCAATCCATAATCTTGGGTCTTCTAATCTAACGAACGCAGTTGCAAAAAACAAATATATCAGTGACAAATGCGAGCACGCCAGGATTTGGTCGAAAACAAACGGTGACACTAGGTCTGCGCTCTTTCTGTTTAAACTCAACCAACATATGCTTATTGATTTACTCAGCTTTATTCTGATAAATCATATTGCAGTTAGAGTTAATGGTAATGAGTTTCCAATTTTAGACGAGGGTTTTAGCATGACTTATGCTATATATGTAAAGGATTATGGTATCAGTAATACATCGTAGTACATAGACATGTACAGACAAATGATTGAAAATTATTTATGATCCATGTTTCAGATAGTACTAACAGCATTCTAAGCGGTAATTGTGTCATTACACATATTCTTGTGCCTGTGGTGGTTGATATGACTTCAGATGACGTACTTCTTTCCGACTAATGAGCGATTCTTCTTGGTGGTCAGAAAATGCGCACCACATGCAAACTGCTATCAATCCTCCCACCAAACTTATAGCACCGGCAGCCCATCCGATGAAAATTGCATTCCCGAACGCGAGCCTTTCGGAGTCTGGAGATCTGTGATACGAATTGGATAACTTGTCTTCAAGTAAAATTGGGTTCATCCTTTGAATTGGATAAAATAGAGAGGATTTCACAATGGAGAGGAAATAGTTCAATCGATACCAAACAAAAGCAGGTTGACATAAATGTGTTGTGAACAAATTCCCACTTCCTAATCCCAAGACCTTATTGTCTTAGTCTTATTGTCTATGATACAGCAGATTAGGGCTTTGAAGCTTATTATGATGCTCATTTCACCAGCATAAATACCACACGTAAAAAAAAATATTTTTGTTCAGTAGAATATTTCACACTTACATCATCATTGAATTGTAGTACGTGTTCATGACAGAAGAAGCGAACCACGAGACACCAGCAACAATCGACAATCCACCAATTATCCCGCATATTCCGCCAATGAGACGAACTCGAACCTGCAACAATAAATGAAATTAAAAAAATATATATATATAATATCTCCGTTAGGATTACGAAGATTTCGCTATAAATACCTAAAATAAAATAAAAATATGAACTTTAGCGAGGACAATTCAATTAGAGGTGACTTCTTATTCAATGGGTGCCCGTAGTTACATCGTGATTAATTTGCCTTGATAACCTGTGTTGCGTTCGTCCTGTATGATTGTCACCCATTCCAAGTATATTAGAACGACACTATAATGGCTACGATATAGGCATTTCAATTCAGCAATGTCGGTTATTAATGCTTTCATGTAAATTTCATTTTGGAGTTTGTACGATTGGAAAAACTTTGCGGTGCTTCAAACACAAAGAATACTTTGATGTATAACTGTCATATTATATACAGTAGTTTAGAACAGGGCTCTTCAAATTAGGGCTCAAGGCTCGGAAAACCATCCAATTATCAGTTTTCGATGGAGTTTCCATTGTGTGAAGTTGTAAATTCAACACGAACATCGTCACGACCCAAAGACACAAACCTCCAATTGGGGATTAGGTTTATCATCACTTACAATTTATATTAGTAATATTTTGTAGCTAACTGAAAAGTTATCAATATATATCTATGAAGTGACAGTCAAATTTTCTGAATATTTTTAGAACAGTTCTAGGTTACCCTGTATTCAGCTGTCTGGCTTGCACAAGGACAGAACGCGACAGCAAAAATTGAGAGTAAGGTCCCAGCAGCTCCGAATACAAGAGATGATATAGAAAATGCTCGAGCTGAAACAAACAATGGAATGTGAAAATAGATTGCCTTAAAAAGCATGGGAGGATAAAACAATATGAAAAAACCATAGTGTTATAAACTATGGTCGAGGTATTTGTAAAACAGTGGCGGCGGATGGGAAATTGAAAAGAAGTTGTCCAATGTTTGAAAGAAACTCAGTTTAGCCTTACTATATATAAATACTTATCTCACCTGCTTGTATATGCAGTGGCAAACCGAGAAAAAAATTATCGAACCCTGAACATGTCACCGTCCCACTATTCGCGTAATTCATACATCTTTCCCATATTCCACCGTTCTGTGTAAATATATGTATTTATTGTAGCTAATGAGATAAGTGCCACTGATGTTAAGTCGTATGTGGCAATAAATGTTATATATAATAAACCGAGCATTAACGATAGTGATTGCTCCAAGGTAAGCATCTATGCCAGAGCACAACCATCGTCTTTGCCCTGTAGATAACGTGATTCTTATGTGAATTACAGACATTTCGGTCAAACGTTAGATAGACCTATTAATTGAAAGGCGAAAGGGCTATTCAAACATGAGATTGCGTTGTTTGGTGGTGGCATTAAACTTAGTTTAGTTATATTGATTTATAGTTGGATACGTTTCTTTATGATTTCCATTCTACGATGTAATTATTGTAGTGATTGTAGCATTTCTATACCACTTACAGAAACGACACAGGCAGATCAGAATACGAAAATAGTTATTCTACATTTATTAAAACAAAATATCTTTTCATAATAATTAAGATTATAAAACAACATTCGCTATTTTGTGATACATACCATCCAATTGGCCTGACTAAATATAGTACTCATGTCGGTCTGCTCCCATTCATTGCTTTGAAATACGTTGATCGTCAGAATCAGTCCAAAAAGTATCATGAATGGGCACGAAACTTCTAGCAGCAAACTCATTTTCAACGTTCAAAGCGTTTGAATGGTAAATTTACTCCAGTAATGTTTAATATATTTGATCGATACTTTTTTAAAATTTAATGTTTGAAACAGTTAAAAGAGGTAAATATTTCAAAACATTTATATGCTGTGAACTTGACTCATACGTGTGGCCAAATGCTAAGATTTATTTGAAATTGAAGATGTATGTACACGTTGAAAAGGCGAAAATTAATTCCTTATTTTTCAATGTAGCGAATAACAACAATGAAACAAAGTGACCTTTAACACCAAATTTGTAAGGTCGTCTATAATTCCCTGCTCTGTTTAATCCTATGCATTTTACCCATTATTTGGCTAACTTACTGTACACCTAACAAACTTAAATGCTATGCTATTACTCATCAACTGGTAAGCAGCCATGTCTGCTAAATATTACGAATAATTGGCCATAGATTTTACAACAAACAAGCACCTCATCAAATTAGTGTACCGGAAGCGTACAAATGACCGTTTATTTGTTATTTCAATATAGTTTACCTTTTAAATTAGCTTTGTTCAAAGGCAATAAACAATAATAAAAAAGACGATTGGAAACTGCAACACCACATAAAAACTCTAAATTTCATTAAGTGGCTGTATAAGATCATTTCTTTCAACACGAGCGGTCAAACGATCGTAAACATTACGCTACGCGGGCATTGACTTGAAAATATTAGATTTTCTCGTTTTCCGAGATATCTTTGGTTCAAGCATTCATTTATGTACAATCGATCGTACTCAGTAGATATAATAGATGTACATTTTGGAAACATTACTGTTTCATGCTTAGCAAAATTTTAATTATGTTCGTTCCCTCTTGATTGTGATTGTAGAGTTGTTACTCAACGGACAACTCTTAAAGCACCATTCGACTGTGGGCCGTTGATGGAGCTTATCTTTCTTTTTTATACTCCAAAACTAACAAACGAATGTAATTAACTTTAAACGCTCTGAGTGTTGCAATCTAGGTATATAAAAAAAATTATGGTTTTGCTTGACTGTCATATATGAATGTAATTTCATCACAAACATTTTTGTATATGTCCATAAAGTTTGGTATTTGAACTTGAATATAGAATACATAATATTCATTTTGTACCCCAACCTTAAATAAGACGTCTGTCGTACAATGCGTCCGTCTTCTTTCAAAGATATTTACAATTCAATGGAGCTATATATCTTCATCTGATAATTTAGATAAAACAGAGGCATTGGTACGCACTATTCTATGTTTTTCCTTTTCATAATTTCCCTTTTTCATAAGATTTTTAAAATAGGTTTTAGAACCCTGGACTAAAACTGCAGAACAGGGTCACTAAATACAGAATATGCTTATTTTTCCTCTTCGAATTTTTATTTCAAGTAATCCCACAGAACTATGCAAAGTCGAAAAACGATACTCAATTTTGAATGCACACGAGTCAAACATCTATATTCAATGATTACAACTAGAAAATAAGCAAGAGTGAGGGCACTTTTCCACGTTTTATATAACCAACTTCATCAAACGATACAAATACCAATGAGAGCAACATTCTAGAAACCACTCAAGATTTTATATGGCTAAGAAAACTAACATTGTTCACAAAAATATGTAATTTGTTTATGAATACATTAACTCCGAATATCCAGAAAAACACTTGAAGGTGAAAATACTAAAATTACTAAACAACCCTTTCTGTTTCCCATTTTGCACTCAACTACTTTTCCAGAAGCTCGTTTAATTGTTTTGAGATTAGCATTGCAGAATAAGAGAACAGAATAAACGCAATTTGTGCAGAACGTGTGGCACGAATTGTCCGCGTGTAGTATTATTTAATTAGGCTACTTTCAAATCTCGGCTTATACCTTGTATTAAGCAACGGGATAAGCCGAAATATATGACGACATCAGTTATCCAATTATAGCGCCCATTAGATGCGGTAATTCAAAGAACAAATCACATCAAAACAATACGGAAAATCCATTGATAAAAAAAACGTGTTATGGAAAATCAAATTTCCAGATTTTGATTTTTTGGTTTCTAGCGTTAAATGTTATTCATATTCATATATTTTTCGAAAAGAAAATCATGAATCATTTATGAAAGTTTGCTTGTAGCGAATCCACACACGATTGTTCTGTAGTAAAGTAACCTGCTAGCTTGATAAAGAATTGTAAGTGCAGGCTTATACCAGCTAGCTTGATGAAGTTCAAGTATATTCCAAGAAAACGAATCAATGGCCACTAAATCCACAAAACTGAAATTCTCGCAAAATCGTCGTATAATTGAAGTTTATTTTGCAGAATAAATGCTCGTAATGAAACAATGACTCCTATATTAAGTACTATATTAAATGGGAGGGTTTTGGATTATCCAATTATGTTATTGTTTGCTCACAGTTTGTGAAATAGATTGGACTCTTGGGACCTTGTTTATTCATCCAGTTTTATAACAAAATATTGCCATATGAGATTTGACGTTTTGTTTTCATTTGAGTGTTTCACTGATGCTTACCAGGCAGATTCACTACTACTTAATTATTTGCAACATCTTATGTTGATATCCGATCATAAGATCCCAGTGGCCTACATAATAAGTCACAAAGTAAGATGCCATATGTGCGGAAATAGCTCAAACTTTTTTTTGATGGGACAGTTACAATTAGCTAAAGCTATTAAAAATTTATTTCTAGTAAGCTTCTAGCTTACTTCGGTTACAATAAACTGAAAAAGCGATTTACCCGTAGTTATTTGTTGAGCATTGGATTCGATTTCTAAAAGAACTGAGTATGATTTTGAGAACCTCTAATTTGAGATGAATATACCCTTGTCTGGTTGTCTATTCTCATTTTGATCACTACTGAGGAATTCTGTGGTTTAAGACCTTATTTAGCTCAATCAATCGCAAACTTTACAATTCTTGGGCACTATAATTACTCATAACAACCAGACCGAAGTTAAAGCGAAACAATTATTACTGCACAATTCAATGATAGCAGAGGACATTCAACGTCAACCTGTGAAATATTTTTGTTATATTTTCGTCTAAGAAAAATTCATATCCAACATTAACCTCGACATATCTTGTAGAAGTTGTGTACGATTTCAAAACACCATGGCGTTGTATCACTCGCCAAACATTTTCGGGATCCTTATAACATTCACAATATTAACCTAGCCATACATTTTTTGAACCATGTCACTTATCAGTGATATACTTTCTTCGCACTTATCTAGTCTCTCATTGAAATCTTTTAAGCGTGAAATTCTTTCCGATCTGAATTTCAGTAATACGAGTAAAATTTCTTTAATCTCAAGCGGTAGTTCCATGTTCATCCAGTATCCTTCTTCTAAACTGAAATTTATATCCGGAAGTGGGCGTACTTCCGTGGTACGGTCGTCATTAAACCAAATGTCATAAACAGATGCAGAAATGATAATCCCAGGCCCTTTGCCACACTTTGCATTAAAATTTGCTTGATCTTTATAGTGCTCTTCCAAAGGCAAAGATAGAGGTATTAGTTTAACCACGTTCTCACGTTTTGCAAACAATTTTGGTAAGGGTTTCGTCTTCTCCCGTGATTTCTTTAAAATTCCCTTCACCTCAATCGTGGATTCCTCCTAAAATGCGGAACATTTTGCAATGAAAGGAAGGTAACATTATTTCAAGGATTCATACTCCATCTACTGTGTATTATTATAATAGAACGATATATATTCCAAACCTCACCTCATCGGTACATGTATTGGTATCATCATCAACTTCCAAGTCAATGATGTCTTCTTCATTTGGTGATTGGTTCTTGTTTGTTGATTTTTTTCTGTCCTAAAATATTTTAAATACAAGTATAAATGTTATTTTAGATGAAATAAAAAAAAGTATTACATGATAAAATTTTCTGATTTTTTAATCGCGTTATACCCCCCAAAGTAATGAAAATAAAAGTTTTCATAAAAACTTTCACTTGAGTGATTTATTTCTTAATGGTTCAAATTTTATGATATTCTCCATGCTATAAGTATATATGAAACGTTAGTCAAACGGTAAAAATTATTTAAACTCGTGATATTTCTACAAAATGTTTTCTTGAGACATTTACGCATCGATATACCCTTGTTTTTATCAGCCAAGTTTTGTATCTTCTATCCTTCTTTGCTGTTTCTTCATCTTCTTGCACCTTCTTTTGCCAATGAACTGATTTAACGGTTGAGAATTGGAGCTGAAATAAGGTATTGACGCATGATTTAATGTACGCATGGAGTGGAGTGCAAAGGACTTATAAAGTTGGTAAAGTTTAGAATTAAATCGCGATATGAAAAACTCGAGTCAGAAGTGTTGCGTGTTAGGTAAAAACAAAAATTAAGATGAATGACTGATTAAATTGAAACATTGGCGAAAGCGCAGATATCAAGATTCTTAAACGGATCATTGGTCTATGACTATGTAACTTTATTATTATTAAGTGGATGGTAAGCATCAAATAATTGTTGGAAAAGGGGGGTCAATTATTCAAAAAGAAGACGATCTGAAGAGTACGTCATCATATTTATGCCACAATGTGGGAGTATTTTAAAATTAATAATACCTTTTTTGTTAGATCGAAAGATAACTGAAAAGTTCGAAATAAAGTTCGTTGTATATCCGTGTACAGCTTCATCGCATCAAGTACTTCTTCTCCGCGAATTATTTCTAAGTCGACATAAGTCAAAGCATGAACGGCACATTCGCTAACGTTAACACCTTTTCTTCGTTTTGATTCGGGACCCCAAAATGTTGTACCAAAGCTGTCGCAAGATTCTGTTATTGTAAAATGAAAAACCTGTGATTTTCACATAATAAAGAAGGCAGTCTTGTGGGTTTTCTTTGCTCTTTTTTTGATTGTATTCAAAAATGATCACAACCAATGATTTTATCACAACCAATCGATCTATTATATATACTTTCTACGTTTTTCAAAATCTGCTAATGCTACTAACCAACAAGACTGACAATTTGGTCATCTTGAATAATTTCCAGTGATCCTGATATAACAAAATATATGTATTCAATCTCCTCTCCCTTGTCAATGAGTAAATCTCCAGGTGCAATATGGATTCTTTCCATTCTCGATGCGATATGTCTTGAACTAGTTTCAGACAAAACCTTGAACGCTGGTTGCGTTGTCATAACATGTCGGTGCAAATATACGCTGGCGTCGAGACGCATGTGCTCTGGTAGCCAGTCCAACACCTAGTTTTGGAGTAAGAAAAATAAAAGCACATGTTGACAACAAACAATGCTCAATTATATATTTATAGAGTTCAAATGACTATAGTGAGATATGAAAATAGTCCAGTTAGCAAGAACGTAGTAAGGAGATCTAAAGGATTTGTAGCCACTGTTAAGCTACTGAAATTTTAAAATTATGCTTCAGCTTACTCTCATGCTTTACTCCTAATCAAATATCTTACTTATATATATTCGTTATTCTAACATATCACTCCTATCTATATAAGACCAAAGATTCAAGCAACGTGAAATAGTACAAAATTATAGACATATATATTTCGAAAATTAGAGAGGTACTCCATCGCACCTTTTTTTCACTTATTCCGTGCGTGGCTTTCCATGTAAAATACGCATAATCGTGCATTGAATCTTGCAAATGTTTTGGAAGTTGAAACAACTCCGAAAATTTTACAATGGATGACATCGTCTCCTTCAACTGCTCTTCTGTCGCACTAATGTTTTCCATAGCTGTTGTTACGTTACCAAGAATAGTTGCATATAAAAGGCCTGGTTGAAAAAATTAGAATTTTGTTGTAAGTTTCGTCAAAACAATACCGCCCCTTTTCGTGGTAAAATTGTGGCACCGGAGAAAATTACAATTGAATAGAGTATAACAATCTGCAAATCGGCACAAGTCTCCAAATTGACTTAAATTCGAGTCTCAACTTTGAGTTGAAATGAAGTGATACTCATAAAAACCCACTACAAAGACTATTTACATTCTATGTACGATGATCTCGACTCCAATTGCCGATCTCGAAGGATCTGAAATAAGTGCTGACTTTGAGAAGATGACTTTGAAACATTGACTTTCAGCAATGGAGAAGTTCTAAAATCTGGAACTAGGACATTAATATTGGGCACGCAATACTGTAAAAAAATCCTGTGTTTGAGATTGCTACTTTTACTATCCGCCAGATGATGCTATCGTACCGTATCATGGAACGTGAAAAGGACTGGATTCCCTGACTGACGTCACTCACGAATCGTGTGCCTGTGGCATATTTTGTAGCAATTATACATGACTTACATCCTACTAATAGAATGAATATGCAGAAAATCTGTTCGTTGTGCGTTTCTCCATATATGTTACCAAATCCCTGAGAAATCACGGCCGTCATGGTGAAATATAGACATGATGAGTAAATACTTTGAAGTGGTGGACCTCCTGCTAACACATCTGAAATTCAAAATTATTTTAGGATAACAATGATTGCGTGTTGTGATAAATATTTATATATATATATAAAGTGGTAAAGATGATAAATAAGATTTTAACAAATGTGACACAAGGGGACAACCCTATGTTATCTGTGTCGTATAGTGACAGTCACTGAGACCCGTGTATTTATAGGTAAGTAGGTGGTGCAGACGTCGCACTGGATATCTTGTCTAGCCAATGATGATGAAGAAGAATTCGATGAATAAGCTCGTTAAATCACGAATATTTTTTATTAGTTTTATATTACCCTGCGACGAATCCCAATAATATTCATTTTTCATTTGTTCTCCAAGTCGTACTAGCCAATTTTTAGGAACTTTCGGTCTAACCGGTGCTTGAGTTTTTTGTTTCTCAGCCCACGCTGTTGTTAAATTCCCAGCAATGTCTCTGTTCTGATTTCGTAACGGTGGTTCAAACGCTAATTCTGTTTCAATAAATATATCATTTCTATCTTTAAATATGTCATTCCAATTGAACAAGTTTCGACTTTGATCATTTTCGATATGATTTAATCTTGGGTTGGGTGTTGTTGATAAAAGGACTAGCTCTCTCTGAGTTGTTAGGTCCGGTTGTGTCGCCGTAATAGTAGACTGTGTAGCATCGATACTTTTTATATAATTCGCTGCATCTATAAGAGCGATATTGTACCATCCACAACCCATCCAATGACAGAGCAATAGAATAAGGCTCATCTGTAGAAATGATATATACACGTTCAATTCAATAATTCCAACATTGAAAAACATAACTTGTGCAATGTTACAAAAATTAAACCATGCGGTACGTTATAAATATTTTTAGCTACTATCAAATGAAGATGGAGGGCGCTGATGGTGCATATAAAAGGGAAAATCATCATATTAAAATGAACAACAAAATGTTCAATCGTTTCCACGAAAATACCATTTGAGCGAAAGTACTGAATACATAAAATGTGAAATGTGATAGAAAATACACTTGAAAATTTTCTTGATGTGAAAATTAGGATGAATTACATCATTACTAAAATTGATGCGCAAACAATCAATAACGGTTTATAAACAATCAAAATAAACCTGTTATTCTGGTATTGTTGGTAAATCTAATCTCATTAACAAATACGTGACGAAGCATGAGTTATTCTAGTAATTATTAGGTTTTATTTGATTTTATCACCTTGTGTATCCATATTAGGAATCTGCCGTCAGCAATTTATTACAATTATAGTGTTTGTGCAAAGATACTACATTTAAACTATATTGGATATTTACTCGAGTATATAAACAATAATCGTTTGTATTGTAATAAATAAATTATTGCTATTATAAGGAATTTAACTTATTACCAGTACAATAAGCGATGCATATGCATGTGCGAGGTATCGGTCTAGATCACGAGCAATACGAAACAATCGAAATAATCGGAAAACTTTCATTGCTCCCAATAATTGTGCATTTGCCTGGAAAATAAACAATAAATAAAATGATAGCAATTTTTGAATTCTAAATTTAGGACTTAGTAAACCTCATTATGATATTTTGGGACGAAATTTGACACCTGATGGAAATATCTGACGAGTTACAAAATTGCTGATTCACGTAACAATAGATAAATCAAACTTTTAATAAAATGTACGACAAATTACTCTATTGTTGTCATTATGATGTCAATAAAAAACGTTGATGGAATGATCCCCCGACCAAAGTTGGTCCATTGCTTGGTTAATTCAGGTTCTGTGTATTATTTATGGGTCATACTTTTTCTGATAATAACGATTTCTTAATTTTAGACGAGTAATTTGTAGTTAAGCATAATTTACCACGCCTTAGTACGTCAGCATTAGACAATTTATAGAATATATTATAGAATTAGTGAACGAATTCTAAAAAATTCCTGGGCTATCAAATTTCAAATTGCGACCAATTCTGGCTTATAAGTGTCTTTCTACGTTATATGGAACTAGATACTCAATTATACTGACCTTCATAACCACAGATATTTATAGCAATACCAGGTAAGTATAGTATTAGAGTTCTTATGAATATTTCCATGTAAGGGAAAATCCAATTGTCCATCAGAGAGTGGGAGTAATATCTCAATACGAGTTTGCTAAGTCTCAAATTTCATCTCCCCAATTTAACACCAAAATATATCCCAAGGAACGATTGTTCTATTTTTAAAACTGCCTACATGTTATCGCCTGGTCAGTTTATTAAAAGAGACTTAATATTAGATTTAAAATTACGGGGTTTTTAGTTTAGTTGTAAAGAAATAAAATGAATGAAGGAATGACCTGTTATTTTAGATGATGAGTCTGGTATACATATAATGATGACACATTATTGAAATTTTGATCTGTATTACAAAAGCTGTGATGTCTAAATATTGCGTTAGAACGTGTGACACAAAGAAGTTTGACAAATATTAATGGGCTTTGTATAGCTATTCTCCTCACATTAATATGATTCAGAATGACAAGTTTCAAGCGCTCGAATAACCTACGTCTTTCTGTGAAGTTGAATTATTGTTCAAGTATCGCGTTATATCGGAAAAAATTAATTTAAAATGACAAACAAAAACGATAATTTTTATCACCCCAATACACTTCATAGTACATATTAAAATTAACTTCTTCATTTTTTGTGTTTTTCTCTGGGATATGAACATTGGCGATTTAGGCATAACAAGCTATTTTGTGGACGAGATCTGTATTTTTTTAATTCGGTTTTCATGCACATAGTCATGTCCTACCTAATTTTTAACCACTATGTGTATGCATAGTCATAAGAACCAAAAAATGAGACTTAATTTGTTATTGCAGAAACGAATAAGATTAACAATTTGAAAAATATTTACTAATTTATCGTTTACGAATATCGTTTAAATAATCAATTTTTCATATGAGACCGATTAGAAATCTCACAACAGTAAATTGAAAAGTTGAACGGATTGGTACGATTGCAATGTATATTTACACCTGCTCACCTCAATATCGCCAAATAATAAAGTGATCGCGTCATAAGGTATGCATGTCATCAAGTCCAACAAAAACCACGATTTCAAGTACTTTATTCTAATTGTTTTCAAATCTGTCACAATTTCACCTAAAAATAAAACAGCAAATGCTTTCTCGTGAATGTGAATTCTCTACATACAATTTATCACAATAGTGACAGTTGAAATTTTAAAGAGGCCGATGTTATATCACACTTTTGAACATGTTTTGATGAAAAGTGATATTGATTAACAAAAACACAAAAAATGCTACTGGTGCTAACGCCGATTATAACTGAATTTTCAATACAAATTGAACAATTGGGCCCATTCAGCATGGTAAGATCATAACAAATTTCTATACCATTATTTTTTAAGTGACAGGGAAAGTGGTTTTATACATTTTGTTGTTTAAGAACAATAATCATACATTTCGCAGTTACCCGCTACAGTTAAGATGACCTCAATATTTAGGAAGTAACATTTGGTGAGAAAAAGGTAACTAAACTGGGAAAAGTAAGTGCACGGAGACAATAATAAAAAAAATCGTCCATCATAATTCATCACATAAATTAATTAGAGCATAGATCAATTTTTCATATATGAACTTTGCCCCAGATACGTTTCTGGAATGAATTTTACCATGCAATGTCGAACGAATGCTATAAATAGATATGTCTTGTCATTCAAATTAGAAATACCAACTAGGATAAAAGTCAAAGAAAAACGGAAGCAACCGGAAACGTCAACCCACCAGGTGTTATACGCACAACGTGACTAAATTGTTTTCAATTTTACAAGAATTTCCCATAAGTCTAGCCGGGACATACATGTATAATAACGTTCTTAAATTGTGTCAGTTCAATCGAATGTGAATTGGATTAAAAATAAACACAACACAATTTTGAATTTGTACCTACCTAGTCAATGAAAAGCTGATATATATATAGAGAGAGAGAGTACGATCGTGGCATTGTATGAAATAAAAATACAATTTTACAAATTTTCAATTTTATAAATTTCACAATGTGCAAGCTATGTTACCACAGAGATAGGTATAATTCTGCCTTACTAATGAAAAAGTGTCTCTAGTAAAAATTTCTGGATTCAAAACAATTCGTGATCGCTCGGCAACATCGCATGTATTTCGCTTTTCTTTCATTCAAGCGAATATAGTTCATAGGACTTCTTTGGATATAACTCGCATGTAAAATAATTTTTATTTGATTTGAAAGCATCATAAAATGAAGATTGCCAAGATTTTAATTGATTTATAACAAAAAAATAAATAGGGAACAATGATAAATTTGTTTCCTGTCTCGTTTGGTGTCATTAGTTGAAGGAATTACTACCGAGTTACGTCATAAGTGTGCAATTTATATTTTCAGAGTTGTCACGCATTACAGTCAATCATTTATTCTATAAATTATTTGTATAATTAGAATTTGGATCTGAAGAGAAATTCATTGTTACGGAATTAAACCATCTTTAGTCTCAGTTTGCCGTTTCTCAAAATTGTAATAAGAATAAAAAATGCAATCTTACAAAACTGGCATGATTTTACCTGGAGATTAATTTAAAGTAACGGCACAAGACACATTCAAATTGCTTGTAAAAGTATTCCGGCATACTATATTAAGATTGTAAGTTGGAACCTTATACAGTCTATTTAAAGTTGCTACGGCTATAAGTCATGCCGTAAATCCAGACTGGGTTTAAGCCTTCCTCCGCGAGAGTCATGTCTTCCACTGGCTGGCGTATTGGGGGAGTTGCCAACACATGCCGTCTCTTGTGATCGAACTCTATCTAAGCTTTATTGCAATGTTACTTGTTTTGTATGGCCTTATTATGAGTTCACTTAATCAATAAGTCAATCAAGATATAATTTATATATTTATTTGTTATAGTCAGCATGACCCTTTACAGTTGATAATTAGCTGAAAGTGAAAGTAATATCATCGTCGAGTGGTAAAGTTCGAAGCGTTCTACGTCACATTCGCGTGTCAGGACGATAAACAGCAGAATTGAAAATTTTTTGACAACAATGACTTGAGAAATCTAAGTGTTTTGATTGACGTCACGTTGATTTGATATTTCCTGTCGGCTCGTGACTAACAATGTGATTAATATATTTCGCCATCGCCTCTTCAAATTCAATTTGAAATATTATTTTGAGAAGATTAATGTTATTCACACTATCACCTTGAAGTACGATTGATTTATTGAAATTCAACGAGTAAGTTTAGTTTATTACTTCGATATTCGCGTATTTAGTGGATTAGAAATAAACTTTTGAATGTTTATTATGGTGGGTACAATTAAGTCCAAAAAACTAATAGTAGATTGTCATTCCCCAACAAGTGGTAATTGGAAAACATAAAGTCACGAAAAGACATTTGAAATCAAAGGTTTTTGCAATAGCTAGTGATAACCAATTTGGAATTTAGAGCTCTGGAAACCTTGACCTTTTAATCCGCCGATCGCTTTTAAATAATAATAATAAATATGATTTGATGATTGCACATTTTATATTGTATTTGATTTATTCTTGGAAAACGGTGCTTTTTGATTTTGATAACCTCTCCTTGTACCGAAACTAATTTACAGAGATAACTCAAAACACAATGAAAATCACATTGTTTCGAAAATATCAATGTTGTTATTTTCTTTGTTGAAACAAAGGAAATTCACAAGAACAAAAACACCACCATTGATCAAATGACAAGATTAATGAAAACGATCACGTTCGTATTAAAATAAATTGCTTAATTCGACAATTTTGGTTTTAGTCTTTGTGAATCACCAATTTTCTGGAAGCTAAAGCGTTTATATCTCTTCGTGTATGCGTAAAACCACATCACTCAAACTGTGAGGCGGGAAAATATAAATAGTATTGGCTTTTGTTGGAACTCTTGATCAGGACACAAATGAATTTAAACCTATTTGCGCGGGATTATATATTACAGATACCTGACGCATATAGCGCTGGTGACTACTTTTAATCATTTATCCTTTAGATATACCTATTGCGTATGCAATATTTTGAAACGTTCCAACAGACTATACGCTTGTTCGAACCGTCAAACGTAAGATAACATGTAATTGTTTTCACAAAATTGATGGAGAGAAAATATAACGAGAATATTCTCTGGGCTTCTATAGTAAAATAACGAGTTTCTTATGTAACAAAATGTAATGTAAAAGGTATGGATAAGAGTATAATAGTCACCAATGCAAAAATAGAATATTACCTTCCGATCCTGCCCTGGTAGTGTAAAAATTGACGGTGACGTCAAGGATAAAAAATACATCAACCAGACTATCGACGATCAACCAGTTTTTGCTTTAGAAATAAATTAATAAAAATATATAATATAATACTTTTTAAAAACGCTTCAGCATATTGCCACATTTTTTAAATGAAATCCAATTTTTAGTTAGGTAGGCAGGAAGGACGATTCACCAAATTCACCACAACTCAAAAGGCACATTGAAGTCGTTTACGGTAACTAATTTGGTTAGAGCTATGTGTACTTAGAATAAAAATTGGGAAAAAGGTAATCCAAACTGTACTGCAAATGTTAAAACTATTATTATTATTTGACAATTGACTATTGTCACGTAATCATCGTTTGTCTCGAGTTTAATCTTCTTCTTATTCAGCAAAAACATTAGATGTCAGTCACGAGGAAATGGTAATGCAATTATTTTGCCTCATCACGTTTTCCCAGAATATATTACTGCGACCATATTTCTTCGGGAATTTTTAAAATTTAGACTTTTTCGGTCCGAAATCACAGTATGTCTGGCGTGGGACATACATATGCAGGACTTAATGTGGTTGTCCATCTTTCGCCCATGCTAGAATTTATATAATACACGAAACGTCGAATAACGAGACAAAATCAAATTAATACAAATGCGGATGAAGGATCTTACATCATCAAAGTAGTCGGGTCATCTCAAAAATAACGTTATCAATCATCTCTGTAACCCGTAAAGGTCAAACAGTAAAATGAAATGAAAACTTTCCAGAATATATAATTTGAAACAGTTATTAATATAAACAATTTGTCGACAATAATATCAAATTATTCCAAGCTGCGATACAAATATATTCTTATTCTCAGTCTAACAGACATAAACGATTTTAACACCTAAAATTTCCTGATACTATTCAGGTGTAATAAATTGGAAAGTCTATTCTGAACAGGTAAAGTTCTAGTTCCTTTATAAGCATGGCAGTTCAATACATATCAAGTGGCTTCTTCTCAAAGATATAAAAAATGGTAATAACAAAAAAATGTGTAAATTTGAGTGGAAAAACAGCATTTACTAATTTTCCATAATACCTTCTGTTCTTTATGTGAAATGCGGCAACCAGTGGAACCACGATAGCAGTATAGTACGTCAATGTTAGAACCACCCAGTCCCATGAAGTCTTAAAATCGCTGTAGTGCAAGATAATATTTGTATCTCTTTCTGGTCGTTCTCGTTTCGTCAGATCTTCTACCTCCTCTAAAAGGTTTAGTTATCTATGTAGTAAGCTTTGCATTTTCAAGTAGGCTACTCCGAGTATAATGGTCTTTGCTAAATTTACCGATGAGTGGGTTTTTAGTATTTTTTGAAAGAAATTTGAGGGTTTTAAACTGAATATTCAAATTGTTTTTATACGATTATTTATATCTTTCTATGTCATCATTTTACGCTTGTTAATTAATGGGTACGAGTTTAAATTTTAAAAGTTATTTTAAAACGTTTGGTACTAAAGTACCAAAAAAACTTGAGTATTAGCGTAAGCTAATGAAAGTTCCAATTATAAAAAAAAATGACGATTACTCAAATATCTCGCCAAGTAAAATATATTTGACTGTGTATAACTAGTTTATTTTTTATCCGAATTTTTTATTTTATTTTTTCTATTCTTCAATCCATTCTACAATGCGTGAGAATTATCTATAAAATAATTGACTATTACCTATGATTCATTGCCTTACCGGTTTCATTATTTTTAGTCAGCAATTTTCCGAATTTTTCTAAATTTTGCGTCTTGATTCCGCTTCCTGATGACGCCATATCCTTATTTCTTGTTATGCCACAACCACAAATGGCTAGTTTCTCTGAATGTAATGACTTAACAAGAGGTGATATTGTTATATACTTTATTTTTTTATTACGCAACAGTTGTGTGTATTTCGTCGGCGAGAAAAACGAGTAAATCCAGAATAATTCGCAGTTGGGTATTTGTTACGCATGACTGTGCCATTAATTTCCGTCAACTAAACTCAATTGAAAATGCATAAAAGTATTCGCTAATCCCACCTCGCCAGGCAAAATCATCAACAGGTGGGTTGCGATATCAGTAACATTGATATAAAGACTTATTATGAACTGAATTATAGCATTTTGTACTACCATTTACAACGTTTTATATAAAATATACAAAGGTTTGTATTATAAATGAAAGTATGCACGATAAATGCATGGTATGAAAACTTTAGTATGTGAAGCCACAGCAACCACATATTATTGATGGTATGTGACAAAGATGGTCATGCCTCGCTGTGGAGAAACAAACAATCGACACGGTCAAATTTTTAAAACAGTGATTTAGTATTATTTGAAATATGTCGAAAAAGCTGTCTCTAAACTTCTTATCCGATAATGTACAAAACGCAATTACGCAAACCACAGAACTTAATTCCTGTAATCTCGTTTAATCCACGAAAATAATAAAATCCACAGTTATCGGTTTATTCGTGGATTTACTTGAGCCGGTAGTTATACAACAAAGGTTCAATTGACAAGTCGAAGCGAGCACATATTTAACTATTCAAAATGGACTTTCAGCTTTTACATAGGCCTCAAATAGCTGCCCAATTCTAGATGATAAAAACGCCCATTTTTAATTCAACTTTACCTACAGACTAGTATGGTACTAATTTGGTAATGTATTTTTCTTTGAGAAGTAATGTTATTCAGGGTATGGTGCCAATAACCTTCATTGGAAATACCATATTTACTTCGGATTCTCGCGTGTCACATATGTTCTAGGGGTCCGATTTTTGACCGTTTGAGAAATAAAAATATATGCGTAAATGGCCATTGTGTTATTTTTTAAATTCTGAGTTTTTTTTATCTACTATTTTTTTTTTTTTTGTAATTAGAACCATGTAAGTCTCGAAAAATTGCATTTTTTTAAAGAGGAATTTTAACGTCACTGATTCAAACCAGCGGTAAGATCAATTATATGATGCCTGCAATTTTTCTGGGAATCACAGATCACAATCTTTTGAACAGTGACGAAATTAACGTGAAAAAATAACTAAAATTATCCCATGCGTCAGTAGAATTACGTTGGTTTATTCGTACGTCAGCACGCAATGATATGTCAAGTTGACAAAAATGAACATTTATAAATTGTTACGACGAATTTATGTATTTAACGTTCATTTCGTGTGACACTGCGTAGCTACGTCAATTTTCTTCAAAACTTCAATTTACGAAATTTCAATCAAATACAGGCGTGGCAGAAGAAGAAGCATTTGGTTTAATGCGTAAAATAATTAGTAATTTATTATAACATTTCTCGAAAGAATATTTCACCTAAGATTATTCTTTGATAATTTGACATATATTTATTTATTTGCTGTTTTAGTATTTATCTATTTATTTATATAAATATAACGTCTAAAGTTTTGTTAACGGTATAATTTCCGGAAAATTAAGTTAGTGATGTCATTCCCAAAACAGAACTGCTGACAAAGTCCAGGGGGTTAAGATTACGAAGCAAAATCTTTGCACTTGTGGAAAAGATCAAAAGTTTTTGCTTACATAAAATAGATAACATCCAATAATTTTATGACGTTCCCAAAAATAGACGAGAAGTGTATCTTAAAATTAAAGTAATTTCTTATCAGCAACAAATTGTTTATTTTTAGATGTCAATTTGATTTCCGAATTATGTCGAATCAGAGATGCTTGATCAAAGTTTGATATTAAATTGTACACGATGCAAATCTATAGATTCAGGGCAGTATCAAGTATGAACATACACATCAAGTTATATTGCATAGGCGCGTGATATTCATAGACCACGTTCGGTGTGGTATAATCTTTAAATTGGCGAATCAATGATAAAATAGCTAGATTGTAATTTATATCGTGGCTACAAGATTTACATCAAACTAAATAAATATACATGACCTTGCGAGTTATTAAATTAAAAACAAACATGATGCGGAATGTTCAACATGTATGATTATTTATTTATTTTTTTGTGAAGATGTGAGGCGTTGTCAATTTTCCACGTCGAATTTTTTATTTTGAAATTTGAAGTAGAAATATTTTTTTTGACTGAATTTAAATCACGAAATAATGAATGAACTGGAAAAGGTTCAATCTTGTCTCATCCAAAATAAATTCAGCTTTTAAAAGATAACAACTCGCATCGTGACCAGGTAATGAGAGCCTTAATTTGACACTCGGCATCATACTCTCTTTTGTGGTTAAAAATTGCTTTCTAAGAACTTGCGAAAAATATAAATAATTTCATCCAACAAATTTCCCTGTGCCCTTCGGTAGCCGGGGTCGTTCAGCATGTCACGATTAACACATGGCTAAAAATAGTTCATATCGTGACAATTGAACCAAATATGTCGGACTGATGTAAATTTGTTCTTCTATTGTTCGCTTTTATTTTTTATTTTGTCTGTCGCGTTTTTTAAATAAATGTTTCATATATCAAAATATTATGTAATACAGAATAAATATATAATGTTTGTTTTTCCTTTTCAGAAAACCTATAGTTTACAGCCAAAATGAGAGAAGACCTGTAAGTTGTACTAAAATTCTGTAGTACTGTAAATTTTATGCTTCTAACAATCACTTTCTTCGATAAAAAGAATTGCCCCAAATGACAACAAATCATGTTCTTGAAGTATTTAAACTTTTTAATCTAAGTTAACAATGAACGAGTTATATTAATAATTTATCCTTTTAAACGTGCCTCAATGACAGCATTGTGATTTAAAAAAAAAAACATCCTTTTGTGATTACCTTTTAACATAAGATCCAACTCATTACTGAGCGTTTGGCAAAATTATGCCGTATTCTGGTTTCAAAATTAACAACGTTGCCTACATACAATAAAACAACTTTGCATTTAAGTTCAAGATATATTTGTGACAAGAAATAAGGAAGAAATGCAATGTGCAAAAAATATTAACTTACATAAATTAACATAAAATAGCATGACGTATTATATTATTCACCTTTTACATGGTACAGAAAGGTAGAAATCAGTGTTTCACGAAGCAATCATTTCCGTTAGGCAAAAATTATGACATCATAAGCGCTCACTCAAAGATAACGAATCTAAATCAAGGCAAAGTCCATGAAGAAATAATGAAATATAAAGAAATTACCAACTATTATTAGGCGATGGTATCAAACGCGTCAGCGAATGTCTTTGGGAGACTTGAGAAATTTATTTATGTTTAAATTAAATTGAATAAAATACCTGATGCCTGATTCAACTATTTTAAAACTGAAACTGCAACATCTGTCGATATGATATTATAAAATATATAATTTTTGTAATTTATTAGTCAAGATAAGGTCGGGAAATTTTCTGATTTATTCTATAAATATCGCTTCAAGTTTTATAAAAACAAATATAAATGATAAAAATCGAAACTCATATCACGTATTTTGAACTGTATAAATTTTCTAGAAAAAAATCAAATCAAGTTCTAGGTAAATAGCAATGACATGCCACATCAACTTGTATCAGTTTTTCGTAGCACCCATAATTGGTACACTTGTCGAACGAAGGAATATACGATTTTCTGTAGATGACTGAAACGACAACAGGAATTGGCTTTGACACGCCATTCCACGTATGTAGTCCAGTGTTTAGATCGATGCATCCTTTGCAAAGACAAGAAGCTTCAGTTATCACTTGCGGAAATCTAAAACAGAAAAATACACATATATTGGGAGGTAATCTTTGAACTTGAAAAAATGTACTCATTAATTTGATTCCCAATGAATTTTCTGAATTTGACCCCAGAAGTTGAATATTCCTAAACTTATTTCGATCTGGCCTTTAACATATATGCCAACACAGATGATGTGTGATCATAGTATTTGTTCTGATTTATTGTTGATTGATCACTTTGTCCATTCTTTGAACACGTTATACCAACCTTGTTTCGTCGTAATGAGAACAATAATCCCACGGTGAGATACTCCTAAGATTTTCCTTCTTGACCCATTTCGGAAGATTTTCTCTGCAACTGGATCTCGGTCTGCATCCGAGTGAACTTCCTACTTGATTATCCATTGTAATCAGTCTAGCCTGGAACACCTCAAACGGTTTAGCATAGGATGGTGCATCAGAATATTTCTTGTAATATTTAATTCGTGGTCTTACTTTACCGTTCATCCTTATATTTGTTGGATTGTGAGCTACGCGTTGGCAAATACTTTTCAAATTTTGTGTCCTGAACATGTTACATTGCGACAGTATTGATGAATGAACTGGGACTTTACCCTTCGTGTATCTCTCAGTATAAACAATATTTCCTTGCATAAAACATGAAAACCCGAGGATTAAATGAATGAATTGATTCATTATATTTACGTTATTCTGAAACATGAAAAAGTATTTAAGTCTGAAAATATTTTACAAAAAGTTGATAATATGATAAAACAACAAGAATAATACTCCTCCCAAAAATAAAAATCGAATAGGCCTTCATGAAAAAGGGATCACTAGGGATAACTTGCAACAACTATTTGAGAACATATATTTTCACAAATTGCACATTTATCAATCAGTAATCTGCGATTAAAAACGTATCGAAAAGTCACAATATCTGAAGCTGTATGAATAAATATACTCTCAGCAAAACTTTTAGTTTATGGAACTATTTTCGTCACCTATTGCTACAAACTCTCTGCATCATCTTCGCTTGGATTTTATATACGGATCAAGGAGTGCAAACAAATGCTATCATAAGATGGGTGGTTGACAGTTCGAAAAACTGACAATAATCGAATAAAAGCTAATAACTAGCATTAATTTTTTTTACCACAAAATCAAAATGTTATTCAAGACAAATCCAGTTGATTTAGTCTACCTTTAATCTTCGTTTAGTATGGTAGAGCAATGAAGATTTGTTCTTATAGCCATAAAACTCGTGGGTGTATTATAACTTCTATCTATAATTTTAATGTTAACTAAGTATAGGACTGATAGCCTAATTACATATTTCCAGAATTTATATAATTATTATTTAATCTGCATATTAACTAATGAACGGATAAATTAAGGCTACCGCAACAAAGAAATTCAAAATAAAGTACGTAATAAGGAACAAATTAAGATTGTGATTGCAGCAACAGAAATGTTAATGACATGGCAGATTTTGTACAAAGTGGGATTCAACGATGGTTGTCTCCAAATTTAAACTTTGAATAATTTTCTCTTGTCTTCGCACGCGACGGTAATTGGTATATATATTAAATAATTATTTTGTGAGATTTTAAGAATAAAGCAAGGAGCTCAAATACATAATTATATGTATCAAACAAGTTTATATAAAGTTAATTTTTATGTACTGATTACTTTGTAAATTTATTGAAACCTAGTACAAACACATGCAGATACTCATATATATATATTAAACAACTTTCCATAAAAAGATAATAAGAAATTTGCAACAAATAGAAGTAAATCGAGTTAAAGATACTGTACTAAAATACCATGTTTTTATTCACCACAAACTAATCATTTAAATGTTCTGAGTGAATAAACGCAACTTTTGAGGAAAATGCAGCCAGTCCGAAGCTGCTGAATCTCTCCATGCACCGACGAGTAAAACAATGTTTTCGCACAAAATCTCCAACAAAATATCAATGTTGGAATTCCGCGCTGGATAAACATGGGCATAATGTCGACTTGATTTGTAATACCCATCCTAATGGCATATGTGAGAAGTCTATTATGGATGTTACCACGAACTTAGGCGGTATACCTACAGGTTAGTATATATCAGCATCCTTTGAGTTACTTTGAAGAGTTAATTTAAAAATAATTACTATAATTTGCCAGAAAAATATACTAATTAGTAAACCCGTTGCGACATTATGCTTTTCATCATCGAGAGATAATTTGAATGGCACATTATTGAGTTATAAGAAAAGGCAGAGCACTGGTTTGTCACAAAATCCTGAAACAGAAATTTAACGATGATTTTCTACAAATTATTCAAGCATGTTGTACAATCAGTATACAATTTGGAAACCAAACAAACGATTCACTTCAAAAAGTCAGTCACGATGATGTAACTTACAACGCAAATGGTCAACAACTCCAGCACACGAATGGATGAATGTTTACAACATTGGAAATTGTAGATGATAGTTTAATGAAATATAAATTGAAATTTGCTTGAAAATACAAAAACGTGATAATATTCCTCAGATGAAATGAACAAGGTAATGATTTAACAAGAAGATAATCCCTCTTATAATTGATCTTGTAACGCCATCCAACAGAATTAGCCGCGCGTAATAATGAAATAGTGTAAAAATTGGAGCGTATCAGAACATAAATGCAGAGGGCGATGCTGGTTCAGCTTTATATAAACCTTTCAACTGACTGCCTGATAAACGATATTGCGGTTGTGACTTGTGAAAACTGATAAGGTTTAGGTAGACATAGTCTTGTTTAGTTTATTCAAATCGAACAAAGTTGGATCGGAGCAGATTCTAATCCAAGATAACCAATAAGATAATACTGCAATAAACACGGGACCATGTAAAATGAAATTGATACTGGACTAAAAGTTCCGTTAGACTACGCGCATGTCGTCTCTGACTATTTACATGGACAAGAAAAGTTTACAACTTGGGCATTGGATATCCTAGTATTCGGGTTGATATAGAGATGTCCATGCCAATAAATTCTGGTCGAGAGCACTAGATTCTTAATTCTACACGGCTAATATGGGCAGACTACCTCAATAAACAATTGACTATCGTACAATAGAATTTATCGCGGATAAAAAAGTAAAATTAAAACGTGCCGATAGGGAAAGCATATTCACCGTGGTCAGTTCATCTGTAGTTTCATCGGGGAACTGTTTCAGGTAAAATACTGTATCTAACTAAGTTAAATATATTTGTACTTTTTGTTTTCTAACGTTAAGTATCCATAATGTACGCCCCAGATTATCTTCTCATTATATCCCTCTGTTGGTCAAGTTCGTTTGGAAAATTGTTACTACCAAAATTTAATGAGCGCATGTGTGAACAGTTCAAGACCGAAAAACTTAGAAATGCTTGTCAGCGAACTTACGGGAGTACCCATCATGCTCAGTTACAAAGTCATGCATACATGAAATCAATGAAGGATCTATTTAAAGAGTATGAGGTTGGAAAATTCATGCTATCTGATCTTTCTACAAAACTTACGTCACACCGTCACCAACTCAGTATACAACGAAATGATGCAGACAACGGGGTCGGCGTTTCTCTGAGGTGTCGAACAAATACTCCGTGTCCTATACCTCCTAACATTCCCCAAAATAAAGAAAACCTACGTAGCAGTGCTCCCTGGGACTACTGTTTACACTTTAAAGCTACACGGTAAGTGACTTAAAATTATTTCAGTTTAGATATTCTGAATCTGAATTTTCCATATCTACAGACATAATCATTTTAACTTTGTAAGTCTAGTTTAAATCAAATGAAACCTACCACTTTGACTCGGATTTTCACATAGAATAAGAAATTGTTTTGTTAATCATGAGCTGCTGGCCTTCTCTACTAACGCCTTGCCCGGAGCGTAATAGGTAAGGTAGGCAATATCTGAACATGAAAATTCCCCTCTTTTCTAATTCAAAAGTGGCCCCAGAAAATAATTAAGCAAAGCCAGCCACCAAAATTTGATTTATTTCTATCCAGTTTGCTACGTCATTCCATATATTTCAGGTTTTGTTCTCTTTTTTAAGATTTCCGCAGTGGCTCAATGAAGCAGCATGTCTGTGTAAAGGATGCATTGATTTCAATACCGGACAACATGACAGAAACGTTGTATCTAAACCTGTAACAGTCATGATAACTGTTATCATGCGTTCACGTGCCATAAGCTCGTTTGCGGAGTGTACAAATCTTACTTGCTGGGAGAAGCAAATTAGTGTAGATGTTGGATGCCATTGTCATATACCAACATGGCCGGAACACTAAATAAATGGAACCTGACATGGCAAAATTTATTTTGAACTCCGCTGTCTCATCTATTTGATATTCTTGGTAATCGTCACGGTATTTCAAATGTATATTAATAAACACTAATTGAAAATTTGTTGTACAAGTGCTTTTTTATTAGATGTCGAGGCCTGACATGTGCATCATTATTATCATTACAATCGCACGGCATAAACAAATTAACGGTACTTGCTCTGATTCGTTTAAAAAGAAAAAATTGTATGAGAACCGTACATATCACTTTATCTATAAAACATTTCATTCGTAGAATGAGGAAGTATAACGTCTGAATCAGTGCTCGTTAACCGGGTGTATAGTGGGCTACACCCCAGGGTGTACCAGAAAGTTCAGAGGGCGTACCACTTCAATAAGGTTCACCGTACCGTATGTTGTAGGGTACACACTCAACACATGATATGCTAATTGTATACGCTAAAATTGGCAATGGTATGTGATATCTATCTAACCTACACGTGTCAATTTATACATAATCTATGTCTGGCATTTTCTGATATCTGCTTATCATGATTTTAAAGTCACAATACCCTCTCGTAACAGTTCGATACTTTGTTAGTGGTACTTCTGTGAGACTGGGACTGACACTGGACTTCATCCAGGTTGGCACTGGGAGAAGTAGTCTAATAAGCTGAGAATGTCGCCAGGCTGTTAACTGAGGCCTGCTCTTAAATGAGTTTATAAGCAGACGTTTAAAATTTTAGGTATTTTATTTGGCTAGAGTATGTTTCGTGATTATGGCGTGATTGTTTCGGCCATCTACATCAACATTTCGTTTTTTTTTTTATCACGCATGTATAAAGTCTTGCGCTGAGGCGGACATCGATGTTTGTTTAAGTGTTTTTTTTCGCGGAACTGCGCGTTCTGTTCGACAAACTCAAAAGCTACTGTGCGATCATCGGCGGAGAGACGCTTCCAAATTAGCTTCATTTTGATTATTATCTCGTATCGCATTTGAATTTTGATCGTCCTTATCGCCAACGTAAAACAAAAAGTGAACAATATCTTTGTCACTAGTTACGGGGGGGTTCGTCGTATTGTTCTTTCGTGCCTACGTTGTTTTCCGTTAAAAAAACACATAACACAAACACTCAATTTTAACGTCTTTGTCTGGTAGCGAAAAGTGTGTGCAGAGTGTGTTTGTCAGAAATACGCAAGTGCTTTCCTACTGTCCGAGCGTTTAATTTAGCAACGCGCCATGTTCAGGTCACGTGTTACCAGACATTATAACAGTAACCTGCAAATATAACACTCAATTTTGAGGTCTTTGTCTGTTAGCGAAAAATGTGTGCAGATTCTCGTGTGTTCGTCAGAAATCCGCAAATGCGTTTTGCTGTCGATACGATATTCGAATATTTTGTCCAGCTCTATCCTAAACTTGATTTTATGTATTTTGTAAATTCTAACGTGAATCGGAACTTGAATGGTGTTCAAGTTTTGTAAAAACGTTTGCGGCCGCAATGAATTTCCCCATCTGAAAGTGACCCGCGACACTAAATAGGTTGGGCAGGTCTGGTGTAGAATGCAGGGGTTCTCAATCTCAACCGAGCCGCTTTGAATCATTGCAACAATTAACTTCTGAGTTGACTAAACTATGCCAGCAACGCTTTCTCTTTATCTTTCATACTGTATGTATTCGCTGGACGTGTATAGTGCTACCATTCCATGTCTTTAAATATCGCTACTGCCCGCCTAAAAGAAGCGGGACGGGGATGTTTTCGCCCGCTTTACCTTTTACGTCCACAATGCATCAAAAAGCGGCAAGGAAGGGAGCGTTCGACAGGAATGGTCGACGCGTGGTGAGATATCTTGATACATCATACGGCTGATACTATTGCTATCTGTTATATGTATTGGCGGATAGGCAGATCTTAAGATTTATGGCTCATTTATCAGTAAATTTTTGAATAAATATTTAAGCATGTCGGAGCGAAAGTATACCTCCTAAATCTAATAGATTCGCCCGGTGTTTGCGACAATGCAGTGGCGGCAATAATTAAAGCCTTTCAGCTCTGACGGTAGACGCAAATTCTCTTGCGATTTTGCTTGCAATTAATACGTTGTTAGTGCTCATAATTAATATGTTAAAACTTTGCATGGCAGTCTAAAAATGGATATAGTAGCATAAAGGACTTCCATACCGCGTTTTTTGTGGCATTGTTCTCCGCCCCAAAGAACGGGATTTTGTTGGTGATACGCGGCTGGAGTAAAATACACAAAATGGTTTGTTGTCAGTAAAAGGTTGAAACCACTGCTCTAATGAAAGAGCACTGGAAACAAGGGTATTACTTCGCTTTGCACAAATGCCCGACGGAATCCAAGAGCAACGTTCACATTATCTAAATATCGAACTATTGCGTCGACATAAACATATATATATAACATCTGAACAATTAATGAGTTGTTTTACGTATTAAAAATGTAGGATGGGCGGGATGTACCAGACTTTGAGAAAAGGTTGAAAGGGTGTACTATTAAAAAAAAAGTTGACGAGCACTGGCTAATGCATTGTCTCAGCTAAGAGTGAGATAAATAAAATTTTTTTTTTTAAAGACGCCAACACATTTATTTTTCGTTTTTTTTTTGTGATAACGCTAAGTTATAAAAGGCTTTCACATTATGAGATGATGTAGTTTGTCTGCTGAAGAATCGTGTGATATTGTTAGATGTCTGGACGGTTGTTTTGTAGGTTATGGGTATATAATATAGCATTTTGTGCCAGAGAAATGAAAACATTAAAAATGAATAGAATGGCAGTGAGTGAATCAGGCGTCGGTCGGCAAACGTAATTTACATTCCGAGCAAGTTAATCGATTGACTTCTACGTAGACTCGTGAGGTACAATACCGATGTACTAATCGATGAATATTCATACCTTATACGATCTTTCTTCGAATACCGGTTTTTTTGCTCGCAGCAGTTTGATATCATTCTACGAGATCTTTTTTCAATTTAACCAATAACATAAACAACCAAATTATCACTTGACGTATCTTGCTAATTAAAAAATTGTAAATATAAACAGAATAACAAAATCAAACATTTTTTAAATTTACAAACCTGATTAATATCTGTTATTTATAATATTGTAAGGTGTGTTCATCAACAAATAAAATAGTTTGAATGTGTTCAATACAAAAAATTGTATTTAGGCACCGACCGAACAGCGGCTTTTTAGTTCTATTGCAAGATATTGTTAAGTTGGCTGGCCTCAACAGCATAAAGCTTACATTTACTTAATTAATGCTATACAAGTACTCAAAGCCGGCTTTGAGACATCTAACTATTATTACTAATTGTTTTTATCAAGTAAATCGAGCTACCGTGAAATGTTAATTTGTAGATATAAACCGAGATGGTAATCGTCGATTGAACGTGTGAAATTTGTAACACGGATGTACTGCGGAGGTTTTGTCATACACAAGTAACCAGGGCCGTCTGTATGTCGTAAACAAGCTATCAATTGCAGTTTTATTTTTAATTAAATTTGAATCGTTTCATTTGCGATTCGTATACCATAAAGTATATACCATAGTTAAAATTTATACTTGTACATAGAGAAGTGTAAAGTTTACAAGGCATGTTTTAAAAAACATTATCCAGAATTGTGTATGGAAGAAAGAAAGGTACAAGAGCACCAGAGTACGAAACCCATCACCAACGACATTGGCAAAAAGCAGGTAAAATATTTCTTTTCGTTTTGTAATAATTATGACGTCGGTTATGTCAAATCTGACCACCACTCTAAAATGAATATCACATGGAAAAGTCTAAAATAACTTGTCAAAAACGTGCGAATGACCTCTTTGTGAACTCGACGTGGCTATCACCTGGCAACTCGGGAATTGATTTATATGAAGTATTGAATAGGGAAATCACATTTTCATGGCAAATGCAAATGTCAGAAGAGGTATGTCTAGTTGCGCCAACCATTTTCTATTTTAAGAAACATTTTATAATTGTACTTTGTATGCAAGAACCGTGTAACGCTCCCCAAATCGTGACCATATTGTTCTGAACTATGTCATTGCACCCACGTTACTTCCTTTAAATACATAAATAACAGGAGTAGTTTGAACGATATCGTTTGGCAATTCTACATAACCTTTAATGAGGCATTCAAGACAATTCTCGTCTAGACAAAGTATACAAGTCAACATGCAATACTTCCATTCTTCATAATAAAATAAGGTACATTTCATTGGCATGTCCGGCGATTTGGTTAGTGATTAATTGGTATTTAGTTTGAATAGTACCACAAGCAGTTAGTATTTTCACAGTGAATGCCTTAAATTACTTCATTTGGATATTGCTACCGTATTTTATGTGCATTTTAAACCAATTACTTATGTTTTACGTTAACATGAAATCGAGAATGTTCTATCGCATTTATAACGCCAATAATAGTAAAAACTGTCTGGTTCGAAAAAAACATCACAGACGATGATGACGAAAATAGATACATCGTTAACTTTGACCCCAGAAAAAGGTTGCGCCTCTAGACGTTTGTCTGCTCATAATCCAAGTTCGATAGTTGTATTAAATCAAGAGAATGCTTTTCAAATCATTACTTTTTAATTACCTTTTATATTGAGGGTGTAATATAATCATAGATCAAAAAATAAATACGAATAGTTGTGTGTGTGCATGAGGAAGAGATAATATTACTCATAGATAGACAGTGTTCATCAATGAAGAGCGTCAGGTAAACCATCGATATGAATATGAATTACGATCAAGCAATTTGTAAACACTAATATTTTTTTAAACTGCATCTCATTATGACTGACTAAAAATTACTACAACTCAAATCAGAAATCATAACAAGTGGAAGTAATGTTGTCTACAACTGCACTTATTATTCGAAAACTTTTTGAATTCTAGTTTATTGTGATGCCTCCATGAGTGCTATTTTTATGCGTTTATCATTTTTTAAGTCACGACAATTTCTCAATCGTGCCGTTGAAGCAGCTTCTACATCATTTCCTTGATATGTTTTAATTTTATGTGAATAAAAAAATAGTATAGTCAGTAATATTTTCGTACAGTCATCACAAATACTTTTGGATGTCAGTGAGCATTGGTGGTCATTGCGAATTATTCCAGGTAATTTCTGTTCATGATATCATGAGAAAATATTTAAAGTTGAAAGTAGGTTTCAATCATCGAAATTAGGTGGAATTGTACTAGTTACATAAGCCATCGACAAAAAGTGAAATGGGAACTAAACTTAGACAAAACTGGTTAGCATATTAAGATGACAGAATTAAGAATTAATCGCTTGATACACCAGAATTTCATCAATTACGTCAAGAACGGAAGTAAATAGAGAAAGTACAATTGGTGTCGTACCGGAAAAGAATAAAACGACAAGATTTGATTGTCGAAGATACAAATGCCGTGAAACTCCGCCAGGGAATGGCTTCAGCATCTGTAATGAGAAAACAGAATAGAAAAACGTCGATGTTCTCTGGAAGGCTACACTTTTGCTGTGATCATTGCTCAGATGGCAAGTTGATATAAATGGAATGAAGAACTCTGGGTAATTCGAAAATGTAAATATTCATGATTGTAGCCTGTGTACGATATCCATATTAAAAATTCATGGAAGACTTTCTTGTCTATTTACATTCCTTTCTGCATAAACGTTTGTATGTCTCAGACGTCGGGACTACGCCGAAGAGGAACCATATTTTTTTTAATTATTCGGATTATACCGCGTTAAAGGCTAAAATTTATCGAATTAAGCCATGTTAATAACATAGTTAGACACTTATTGTCAAGTAAGATTTTTTTCTCGCACAGTTTAAACATGTAGACTAATTTCACGACCATTGGATTTCCCCAGGAATTACTTGATAATGAATTTAAGCCACTCGAGATATTTCTTTGCGCTGTCACGAATACTCGAAAAATACCGACGTTTTGGAATCCGAGGTAATTAATCAACGTATAATAAATTAGTATGACGTGTGGCAAACGTACGTATATTTCAATTAAATCAAATATGATTTCTGGAAAAGCAATTACTATCTTGTACATTTTTGGCGCTTAAATACTTAGTTGTGGTTAGTTAGTGGATTCAATTAAATTCTGAACTTACTCTTTACTCACATTTTCAAGACAATACATTTTCTTACAAAAATATTGCATATGTATGATTTGTATATAGGTAACAATATCTAGATAAAAAGAAATTTCTAGATCTCGAAAAAATTCTAGATCATAAAAATATCTGACTCAAATATAATTAGTATATAATACGTTTAGGTACGTCAACACGGAAAGTAAAAACTGTAAGTTTCACTTATTAAAAAATTGTTTGTCATATAATTGAGGTCGAACAAAGAAAAAGTGATAATTTCACCACATGACTAAACAATCCGTGATGTTTGGTATTGTTTTACCCCAGGTTCCTGCTTCGTTGTTTACGCAATGTATTTTCTGATCGTGTTGCGGTTGCGTACAATCATCAAATGAATTTAATTATTCGTATCCGTAACATGGGCAAATAAATTCTCACGAAAACTGGTGGACATTGCAATTGTAAGGTTTACCAGGTCGGTTGAAGGTGAATTGTTTATATTATCTTGGCTTGAGGAATATCTGACGACAAGTACAAACGAGAAAACGCTAATAATATTTATGGAGTAATGCTAACAAAATAGAGCGAAGTCAGAAACGTGCGACTCAAAGTATTAAAATACACTATAAATGTGTCTTAAATAATGATTTTAATCGTTATATATAGATAGAACATAATCAAAATCGTTGCACTTGGCCAAACACAGCTTTGCGCAATTTTCAGATGAGTTTGCGTGCAAATGCTAACCCGCTTATAGATTTTTTATCATCCAGAACTCGAATGGACGGATAATAATTAGAAGAGTTTGCACACTTAGCGTAGAGTAATTTTTACGCAGCATACACAATACACCCCATTGGTCAGAATTAGTATTTACGAGAACGAAAGAGTTGAAATTTATTAGATGTTTTTTATAAAATATTTGTAAACCCCGACTATATCGAATTTTTTTTGCTGCGAAAAAAATATTGATCAATTTTACTAATTTTTGGAGTTTGAGGTTCAACAACTCAACCAATAATTGAGTGTTGTAAAAAAATAATCTTATGCAAAATGACCTTTATAAGCAAAAACTATATTATCTTTCAGCGAAAGTTTCGGGATAGTTCGACGTGCTTCTTCTGTTATTGCACCAAGATGATTCAATTAAAATACGTCGGCATCTTATTGGTAACAATATTAGTTCTCGCAAGATCAGAAGGCGATAGAATTCGAAGATCCTATGCACCGAATTGGAACATGTGGCGCGGAATTATCAACCAACCTTACATGTACCCATTGAACTACCAGTATGCCTACCCAATAATACAACGTGTGCACCCTACAATTTCTACGAAAAGGGTAACAACGGAGCAGATCACGAGTCAGCCAACGACACCCACCATAGCCAATACCATAAGCACTACTACAACAATAGAACCTACTACAACAGCAGAACCTACCACAACAAATACAACGACAACTGTTACAAATGACACCCAGAGTGAATTTGAACGCAGTTTTACTTTAACGCCAACTGCCAACAACAGTAATATTTTGCAAAAGTGTAAAAACGTTCGATTCAAGTCTCTCAGAGATTCTTGCATAAGAGTAGCACAAAATCCAATTCTTAAAGGTATGGACGACGTAAAGGGATATATAGGAGAAGAAGAAAACAATCAACCGACTCTGCTTATAACGAGAGGATTCTCATTTCTCAAGCCAACGCTTGGGACACAAACAATATGCAATGAACCAGAAACCTGCCCCGATTATACAGTGGACGACAGACCAACTCGGAAAAATCTATTAAGTTTATCGCCGTGGGTCATGTGTCGCGAATATGACCCGAATAGGTAAGAATGGTGGAGTCTGAACTTTTTGTTGTAGTATTTATTTTATTAGCGTTAAAACTATTAAAATACTACTTATTGGTGGATGAATATCATTAATATGATATGAACTGGTAGCGGTTTTTAAATCATGTATCAGTCAAATTATAACAGTAACATAATATAAAAATAGCTAGTCGCCGTCAATTGATTCGTGAAATATGTAAGTAATAATGAAATACTGTGGTCAAATTTATTGAATTAATTTGTTTGACGTAAAATGTGCACAGAAATCTTTTTGGCCAAACGTGACTTAACGATGAAGCCACAGGGTGCCATGTACATAGTAACCTATAAATATTCTGCGCGTGCTCAGTAGTTCTTTGTTTTCCTGGGGGTTCGTTATTTGGTTTCCGTAAAGTGCGTGGATTTCATAAGCTGGACTTGATCTCTTATTACGGACATTGAATGAATTGTTTTCGCTGTGAGGATATTGTAGAATATACTTATCGAAACAATGTAATTATATTGAAATTGTGATTTTTGTTACAGATTCCCGCAATGGATTAACGTGGCAAAATGTCTTTGTGGAGGTTGCATTAACTACCGGACTGGACAAGAAGAAGTCGGTGACGTGGTGTCCCAAGAATTGAGAGTGGACATTAATGTTCTCAAAAAAGACATTTTGACCCGAACATTTGGTCAATGCACACGTAAAACTTGCCGAGAGGAGGTACAAAGTGTAGCGATAGGATGTCATTGCGCATTAGCTGATTTACGTGTAAAGTGAATATTCGACATAAGAAATTAAGAATCAAGTTCTTCCCACTTACGTGATATTTTTATTTTATCATTGATATGTTTTTTGTATTACTTTTCGTAATATTTAAATTTTCCTAATGCTAATATTCTATTGTCCATTGTTTCCATGTATTTATGATCTCTGCTGACTAAAGAATTCAAGCTATATTCGAGTGAAAGTTTAATCTCTAGTGTTTCTATTTGGTGCTATAACAAAATTGTTTTTTTAGATCAAATTTATCATTAATCACAACTTAAGATACAAAGTGTAAAAAATTATTATTAATCGAGACACCTAATTTACCACGCACAATAAACCTTGGTCCCCCACCGATTATTCGTGACCTAATATGTCCCATTGTAAAACAATTAATCCCAGATTGAATTAATGCATTAGATTCGTGTCGTCGTGGATTTTCTTCGATTTTAAATAAATTTATCATTTTACGCAGGTGTAACTCAAACGAGTCGAGACAGCCTGGCCTCTGTTTTGCGAATTCCAAAACGGGACATTTGATTGATTATTTCATTTTACTGAAATAGCTTTCGTGACTCGAAGTTACACAATGCTAAAATAAGACAACACAAAAGCATAAAACGATCCACTTAGCAGCATTCACTATTTGATGCCATTTAGTGTCGATTGTTCGTATCATTAGTATGCGAGGACTAGCATTTTAGGATAAGGACACTTTTGGCGTTCATAACATGCATCAGTATAATACTTGAATAATATAATTTAATACCTGAATTATAAACTGTAATTAAATGGTTATATAATATATGACATGTTTATTATACTACAGAAAAAGTTACTACAAAATTCTTATCGTATTGCATTGTGTCTAAATTGTTTTGTTTTGCTTTTTGTAGATAATTAATAATATAGATATAATAAATACAAACTAAACGACGAATACTATGAAATGTATTCTAATATTAAATCTGATGCTCTATTGGCTAATCACCATTGTTACGGGAAAATGTATTTCTACACCGGAGGGAACGAAATGCACGCCGGATACAACAATATACAATCCACTGAATGGACCGCCCGGTGGTCTTTTTGACAAAAGAGAGCAGCAACCAATGAAGGCAACTCCTCACCATGAACAGCTATATAAGCAGTGCCTTGATATTCGTAACCGGGATATGCGTAGTGCCTGTATAAGAATATCTAAGAATCCTATTCTAAAAAATATGGGAAACGGCACAAAAGGTGTTATAGACGACAGAGAATTGACTTTTCCATTTATTATCGGTCGAGGATTACACTTCCAATTTATTTCGGAACACGTGGTTCAAAACGTTTGTGATCAAAAAATGAATTGCCCAGATGGAGAAGAGTTAAAGAGAACTGATGATAATATGTCTAGTTTGTCTCCGTGGAAATATTGTATGCAGTACGATTCGTTAAGGTATGTACGCGTTTCATTATAACAACAATTTTCTGGACTGAACCGTGTAATACCGGACATGTGGTATTTGTCGTCGAATGAATTGAAAATGATACGATACAATTGTACATCATACGAATGGCGGGTTTACTGCATTAGATCAGTAAAAAATAATTAAAAAAAAACAGCACTCCACATCATGTTATACTCTAATAGCCACACCCTTAATTGATATGGCGTTGGGTTACCCGAAGTATGAATTATACCTTGAATATTCTAAAGTTTAGTTCAAAAATTCACATCGAAAAAAAAGGTTAAATAAAGAGTAAATATTTTATTTTACCGACTTCAATTTGATGAGGTAGATAAATACGGTGACCGTACATTTGAACCCATGTACATTTGAACCCATGCGTATATCCACGGGTTCAATCTATATGCGGGTGCTAAAACCCATGGGTTAGGGTTGGTATCGGTTCAACTATCCGTGAAACAAAAAAAATTCCATAGGTGCAATAGCATACAGGTGCAATTGTCATGGGTTCAAATGTACGTGGGTTCAAATGTAATGGAACCGATAAATACATATGCAAAGTTTGAAGCGATGTGCGTTTGATGTTGTTTAATTGGCTGCGTTAGGAACGCCCACATATTAATTATTTATAACAAATATGCTATCTGCTCCTCATTGTCTATTTTTCGGTAAAATACGGAATCCGCGAAAACTTTGATTTTTTTATTATAACCTAGTACAGAAATAAATCCCCGACACTCTTAAATTAGTAATAAGTAAGGAACTGAAAGTAATAATACGCGGATCTTTTTGCCTGCTGATATTTATCTCTGATAATACCTTGTATACATATTATGAATACACGGTATTCATCACACGGTATCGTGTGTGAAGTATTTCTTACATTCATAAAAAAATTTTACTATCTTTTGCTATTTCAGGTATCCCCAGTGGATAAATGTCGCTCAGTGCTTATGTAGCGGATGCTTACATCCATTCACTGGAGCTGAAATTCATGGCAACGTTCTATCCAAGGAAATTCACGTTGAGATAAATGTTCTTCGGAAATTCTCGTTAAAGCATCCATTCAGCAAGTGTAATCGAAAAATCTGCGAAGAAACGACTCAAAAAATACCAATCGGATGTCATTGCCAAATTGCCAATGTTCAGAATGTATAAAGTAGATGAAAAAAATTCGATTGTAGTAGAAGACGAAAGATAGTTGGTTGACGAACGACATCTAAACGTCAATGGTGAAATTATCTGAGATCCCTCCGATTATGCGTCACTGAATAGGATGTTGACGAGTTCAAGGAGAAATATTCAAACTCCAATAGCCCAAAATATTTTGTTTCAAGACCAGAATTTTACCTGATAAAATAATTTATTTCTCGTAATCATTGATGAACCGAGACCGTTTTTAAATATAATCGTTTCAAAGTAAATTAGCAGATGCTGAGAAATTTATGGTATCTCATTTTGTTACGACGTAACAACATGAAAGTCCTAATGAATTAGACAGTGTGGGCAGCATCAATACATCTTAAAGCTTCAATAATATTTTTTTTGTGAAAATTAAATGAAATATCAAGACAACTACCTATTATGTGTTCTGAAATATCCTAAAAAGAGATCTAATATAACAAAAGTGCAAAGTTGCATCGGTGCTTGCGAAGTTGGAAGACTATCCCATCGATGTCTGTTTATCTTCGAGTTTCAACACACAAAACGTCAAACTATCCGATTCTAACGATTTTTTACTTTTATACTATTACCATGTTAACTTGTTAAGGATATATTATTTGCTTGAAACGTTGTTTCAACTTTATATACTTATATTTATTATCGTGTTATTATATTTTGGTGAACTTTTATTTTATACACAATATCTAAGGCAAGATATTATAATTTTATGTCCAATAGAATCTATTTATTTGAGCAACACTGCCGATATATTAAAATATCTTTAAACAGAATCTACATTTGATTTGTCAAATTCTCGTGAGTTGTGCCAGTTCAGTCGACTACATATCAATGCAGAACTACATGACTTTGAATAAAAAAATTCTTCTACTTCGAAGCAGTTTGTCGCTTGCTTCCTAGCTATCGTATCGTAGTTAGCTGTAAATGAGTGAGGATTATTGCGACTCTGAGCCAAGTTTGGTTATCTGGGGAAGTGAACATTGCTTAGCTGAAAGTAACTGACGCAATCTTGTCATCCGTCATATTGTTAGCCACATACTCAATGATCGACGAAATAATGGTGGCAGAATTGAATTATATTAACGTATATAACCACATCGTAACTCACATTAAGAAAAAATTTTTTTTGGTCAATCCATTCACCGTCATAGAACTCGTGAAATACTTTTCTTACATTAATCAGTATCCTACGACGAACACATTGATTCTAAAATTATTGTATTATTTACCCTATATGCAAGTTGCTTGATCATGATACAAAGAAATTTCACCTCATTGTCGCATAATTGACTCTGTGCGTCGGTCATAGACTCATAGGTCTAATTTGTAGAAGGCGAAAACTTACATCTCGACGTTTCAGATCATTTCATGTAACACCTGAAACGTTCTATAGCCGCACAACAGTAAGAAAAGTGTGGGCGAGTCTCATGGAACATATTTAGAGAAATGGGAATTATTATAACTACTGCACATAGTGTGATACCTACAATAAGAGCAATGAATACGGAAAATACTGTCAGATTGCATTCTTGGCGTCCCCGTGTGAATGGAACGATACTATGGAAATAAACCACATTTCATCCTCATCGCAACAGCGCCTTCCAGTGTTAAAAGTTTTGTCAAAATGACTTTCACACATGCACACAATGGCATGATTGTTTACATATTTCAGATATGTTTTTCACTCTTTTAATCATAATTATAGATACCGCGTGAATGCGTAACCCAATGAATAGTATATATTTATAATAATATTAATACCAAATTTTCAATTTAGCAGTTCCAAAATAGAAAAAAGAAAATTTAAACTAAAATGAAGGGTAAAAACAACATCAGTACATGAATGGCATATGTTTTGACTCAAAATTTTTCATTTTGTTCATACTTTGAATTTGAAATGAAACAGATTCTCAATTTATTCCTCTGAAAATATGTTCATTTGTACCTCAGTCCTTACGACTTCGCCTGACCACCAGAGAGCGACGAACGCGGACGCGGAACCGCCACAGAGTGCGCAACTTATAATTTTGAAGACGTCATCGCACACAAAAAACGTGAAGCCCACAGAAATATTGTAAATGAAAAAAACAAGGACCCTCCCGGCTTTTTTATGAACACTAAAAATTTCAATAAATTGGTCCATTAGTTGATGGGGAAGGCAATTCTTTCACAACAACAAGAAGAAATGAAATTCTTACAAAAATAACAACAACATAATCATAATAATACCAAAGCGATCCACTTTTCATGGTTAATAATTTAACATATATACACTTATTATGTAGTCTCTTATATTATATTAATATATATTAGTGGATATATTATGCATATCGTGCAAACTGTCTCAAGCACACACTTCATCTAAATTATTCTGACCCTGCAACAACGAACCAGACGTACTATGTAACCGCGTTTGATCTCTATAACCAACGTGCCTGAGGGTAGCTTCGCGGAAATTTTTGAATCATTTCACTTTGTATTCGTTCGATCTGAAATTTAGAATAAGTTTTCGAAATACCAGGATGTATACGGCTGTGTATTAGTGTATTGATAGTGTATATTATTCTGAGTTTTGTATTTCAACAAACAAATTACTTTCTTATTTTCGTACGTAGATTATATTATCTAAAACAAATCTAATAATGATGACATTCGCGAGTTTGTGGTTGGTAGTTATACTTCTAATTAATGTAATTAGTGTCGGGGCTGCCCAAGAAAAGAAAGGATCCACCAGTAAACTACGAACGACTCCAAAACGAATGCATTTCCAAGTCAGATCTCAATGTAAACTATTCAAAACTTGGAAAATGAAGCAGCTTTGTAATCAAGTTGCGTCTGATCCCAATATCGTGAAAATGGGCCGTAAAGTACGAGCATTTGTTAAAAATAACGATGAGAAAAGGTTCAGCAAAAGGATGCGTAAATTATCATCAAACGCTAGAGCTCTTACTATTCCCACTCCTCCAGTAGATGGATTTACTATGCCTTCTATTTCTCGGACGTTATCATCAAATACTGGATTTCAATGTACGAAATCCTGTCCAAGTTATAGTTCACTTTTGTCGGGAAAAACTCCAATTCAAAGAAGCTTTTCACCATGGGAGTCATGCGCCCACTACGATCCTCTAAGGTAAGTTTTCTTTTAGAGAATGATTTTGAACACAAAATTCTACGTTGAGGTAAAGAATTGATATTGCCACTTACAACATAATAGTATTAGATCCTGTTTAAAATAATTCACCACGTTTGCTCAATTACTTTTATAGAGTAACTCACCATTTACAATTGTACTGAGTAATTTGTACCCCAAAAACAAACCCATGCCATTTCGAACACATTCTAGAGAGTCAAAAATTTGGGGAGAGCGTCCTAGATTCCTAAAACTTTTGGATCATACTCAAATGGAAGTTCAAGATTACAAGTGTTAAATAAATTTTCTTCATTTTCATGAAGGAAATTAAAATATTTATGACTTTTGTTTTTAGGTCACCCTGGAATATAAATGATTTTACATGATGAATAAACTATACATGATTTTTATGATTGAAAGGAATATTTATCGATAAACCCGTAAACAAAACCTATATCGGTTGTTCCGCAGTATCGGTGTATCTGACAAATAGATTTCTATCTACCTCATTTCTTAATTTTACTCTGCAGATTTCCTCAATGGCTGAAGCTTGGGTTTTGCTCTTGTAAAGGATGCATAAATCCAGAAACTAAAAAAGAAGATATGTCATTCGTGTCGGAACCAATCACCGTAAACATCACCGTGTTGAAACGAAAGCCAGGCGTTTCATTTAGTGAATGTAAGAATCCGAATGTGGGATGTGAAAAAGCATTACTAGAAGTTACTCTAGGTTGCACATGTGTATTACCAGAAGGAACATAAAGACATTTAATTCTTTAATGAACAATGCATTAATCACGTGGAATATGTTATCAACAAGTGTCCATTATGCTCCTAATTTTTAGTCTAACCTGTAAGTCTCGCTTACTAAAATATAATAAACTAAATTGGCTTGCAAAAAATATGTTATTCATTGAAATAAATATAAGTACCGAAGTGGCAATGTGAATTTTGCTATTTAAAGAAAAAATAACGATATATTTGTAGCAAAAATAAATCTGTCAATAATGCAGTGGCTGGAAATTTTGGCTATTCTGTAACAGAAGTTGCCGTGAACTTTGAGATCATGGGGAATAGATAGGCTTTATTATTTGTCAGGCAGTAGCTGCTTCACATGTTGAAGCGTGATTTAGGAAAGGCTAACAACTCGAACTTTCTAGAATATCTAAAGTATATAGAATATCTATTACGATTTAAAAATAAAACGCATTCAACAGCCTACTGTATCCAAAACTTCTAGTTAGACACGGAGTGTAAATATGGACCGTTTTGTTTAATATTATTATTTTGTTGTTTTTTGGTCAAATTCTTTTTCGTGTTGTTGTTATGAAAATAATCGTTACGAGGCCAATTGCTTTGAAATTTTCAGTGGCTAAAGATTGTGTTTTTGTTAGAAAGCTATTACTTTTATTTATACCAAAAGTTTTTTTTAGTCTCCATGACATTCGTTTTGTGTGTGCGATGACGTCATCACTGTGGCGGTTCCCGTCAGGTGAAGTCATGAAAACCGCATACTACTTCGTTGTGGCTTTCGTGTCCATATATTTGAGCATCGTTTACTTGTTTAACAGAATATCGAAAACGCAACAGTTACTGTTTTTCCTTTCTCCTACAATTTGTCAGTAAGATGATGATTGAATAAACATTACTATTTCACTTTTAAACTTTTCATTTGGTTTCAGAAAATTTACGATGACCGAACTTATTTGCAATCGGGAATTCCTTTCGAGAATAAGTATCGATGCGTCAATGGATATTTCATCGTCTTCATCCGTTTGATCTAAGCGCCAAGTGATTCATTGCGAACACGAGCGCTCGAATATAGAAACATTGATAGAAAATGAGAAATATAACACGCTAAATATAGAAATCGAAAAAAATAAATTTTCACAATGCCTTTGTGACGCAACTCGGCATTTGTACACTGGCGGAGCTCACCATATATAAACGCGATTTACGTAAGATTTTTAACAAGAATTATAAATCCGTACTGGAAGAGCAAGAAATGACATTTTAAGGGACATCAAACAGCTTATTGTACTAAATTGCCGAAGATAAAAACCACAGGTATCCACCAAAGAAGCGTATAGCAGACAAAGCCACACTGTTCACAGCCCGAGGGAACATGTGCTTTAATTCAAGTTTTTGTCTATATCCAGCTGCACTAAAAATACCGCTAAGTTGTCGCAAACATTCGACGATGCGAAAGAACAACATATAATTAAAAATATGTTACCAAAATACTGGAGGAGGAAAAGTAATGTATAGCAAATCGGTTTTACCAGTTTACCAGATTGACAAGAAAAGCAGCAGAATTTGCTACAGGATATTATTAGTTTAACAAGAGTATGGGTTACATGGCGTTGCTAATCCGAGCAAAAATCGAGCTGGTTGCAGTGACACATTGAGAACAGAACTAACTCTACAGCAGGGGTCTCCAACTCAAAACATGTCGCGGGCCACTTTTTGAAATTGATTGGCCACGCGGGCCGCAAATCAAGAAATTAGGTACAAAAATGAGTATCAAAATGTATTGTGTTGAAATTACACTTGAATCTTACAGCAAACGAGACATGAAACATATTCATGTACTTGTGTTGGATATTTGGTTCCGATGTTTGGCCTTTATTTTAGTTTGCTAGTCTTAATTAAGACAGCATGCAAATGCTCGTCCGTTAGTCGTGTGCGGAGGGCTAACTTTCATAGTTAAAATAAAAATTATCGCAAATGTAAGAACTGCCAAACATCGCAGCAGGTATGCAACGTGAATGTGCAATTAGCTTCGCAAATTATTCTTCGGGCATAATGAACTGACCGAAACTCGTTTATTTCGTCACAAGGAACATGCGAAATGAAATTATTGTATTCATTATTGAAATGTAACAATAGAATAAAACATGACCGTGGTAAAGTGGAATAACAATGGAAAATTCTTGCTCCACTTATTACAGTTTGTCGGACCGGATTCTTGATGATAAATGACACGATAAAAGTTTACATCGTACTATTTTAGTTTATGTGGGAAAATCCCAATCATGACGCGGGCCGCAAAAAATGCCTGGCGAACCGCATGCGGCCCGCGGGCCGCGTGTTGGAGACCCCCGCTCTACAGTCTCAATATCGAGTCAAGCACAATCCAGGTTACGTTATTTTCGAAAGTCGAAATGTGTATGATGGCATTCATATTCCATTCCGTTTAAAAATTGTAAATAAACTCTATATATGATAAAATACTTGAAAATTTCATGTTATTGGGTTTATATTTTCAATCTGGATTTAAGTTAAAACAATAGATGAAAAAGACAAAAAGACGAGGACCAATGTTATCATTCGGGTCGGGATTTAGAGTGAAGAATGTTGCATAAAAATGCATTTCGAGTGAGATGAATTTTGTTGAGAATCGAGAAATATGCGATGTCACACGTCCTCAAGGATTATCAGCGCCATGATTTGAATCCAACATTAGATGCAATTTGTAAGTTTCTAAAAATAAAAATTATTTGTATCTTTGAAAATACAGATACTGAAAATAGTTACGTAGAAGGGAATATGGCCTGAACTATTTACCTATTCAATGATATATATATATATTATATATATATAATATAATATTATTAATAGAGGACAAAATTCAGTCGTCAAAAATTTCATAAAACAGAAGATTTCGGTTAAGAACTTACTACGTATACAACAAAAAATACACAAACGTTGTCAGGGACAGAAAGATATAAAATAAAAATAAGCAGTTTTGTAAACTCAGAGGCAGTATTAATTAGAATTATTCATGGCTTTTGCGATTGTTGACTGAAGCATAATGCACATTAATCACAGGAGAAATGCACGATGAATCATATAATCACCAAGTGCTTTTCAAATTTGGAACGTTCGGAGCAATATTAGATCAAATATTACGAATAAAGCCTGCAGCGGAATATATGTCGTTATACTGTCATCATTCTGTTATTGGAACAACAAAATAAATGATGTATAGTGCAAATTTCTGTGTGATTCATGAACTAGAACCAATAACCTGTTCTGCAATGCGTAACGATATGAAATTTACAGTTTCAAACCACTTTTTCGTGAGTTACAAAAACATAAGTTTAATCATAAGAACGCATTTCATCATATCTGCTAACAATTAACGAGTAATTCGTCACAACGCCTCGCAAGGTGAATAATAGCCAAACATGACTGTGCTAAAATATTTTAGCAATGTGGTGTCATGACGACAATGTTGATTTTTGAAAAAAAACATTTATAAAAGGCAGTGACAAAAAATCTCTTACAAACTGGCTAAGTTTACTTTACAACAGGGCAAAAACCCGAGTTATACAATTTAAAATTGATTTATTTTTCACGAAAAGGTTATATTTATATTATATAGAATTGGATATTTTACGTTCCGTACTTGCAACTAGCAGTCAATTAACGGAATCAAAAGCATGAGCAATTTGATATCACTGTTATGTATCTTGCTATTTTCAATTAAAATTGGAACATCACAACCAACACATGAATCGAACCACCAACACAACGACACAACACATGAATCGAATCAAGTCGATACAGAGAACTTCGTGCTTACAGCTACAACAGCAAAGCCAGAAGAGGAGACAACGTTATCTATTTTGGAACAATTTCGCAGAGCTCTTCCAACTGTTCCAACTGCCAAGCCTGCTAAGATTCCTCGAATTCCGGCTCACAAAGGAATAATTAAAAAGTGCAAATTGCTCCCAACGTACAGACTTCGAGAATCCTGCAAATCAATAGCGGAGAATGGGCTTATATACAGTATGGAGAAAAATGTTTTAGCATTTGTAAACAGAACCGAAGAAAAAGAATTTTACAAGAAAGAATCGGTCACTGGAGAAAGAACATTATCATTTGGCATTGCTCTTCCGGGAGAGCAGAACTGTGATGCGACATGTCCTTCTGGAAAAGAATGGTCGACTGCCACTGAAAAGCATGAACGCAGTTTTTCACCATGGGGATACTGTGATAACTACGACCCAGATAGGTAAATACAATTTCATTTACTCAATACATCCAAGTTAATACTATTACTATCGGAAATTGATCCCTATCCAGGTCAAGAGAGTTGAAATTTATTTGCCGGCGATTGGTTTGCGTTTTGTTTTTCAATATAGCGCTGCGTTCTAATACTAATTCCAACTATTAAGCTGTAACCACGGTCAAAAATTTAGACCTCTACGCGAAAGAATTTACCACGGAATAGCATTTGCAACGACAGCGTTTAAATTGTCTTAATTTTTTGAAACCCAAAATCTAATCTAAAATTATTCGTGCCTGTTTAGAAGTTCTGATCATTGTTATCAAAACTGTAAACAAAATTCTAAAATAGCCATCAAAACAATTGTACCCTATTACGCAAAACATGCAAAATAAAAAATAAATCCAATGAAGATTTGCAATAAAGATGCCTCGACCTTATAATTTGATTCATGACATCTATACCATTTAACTGAATAAATGCATATTTCCAGACTTCCACAGTGGATATCTTATGCTAAATGTAAATGCAAAGGATGTATGGATCCCAACACGCTTGAAGAAGATCTCAGCTACAGTTCAATTGAACTAAAGACGGCCATACCGGTTTTAAGAAAAGAGCAAGAAGTGATGGATTTTCAAGACTGCACGAACAAAAAATGCAAAGAAAGTGTCGTTGAAATCGTTATCGGTTGTTATTGCTTTTTGCCATTTATATCCTAACTCAACTCTGTCTGAATTGTTAATAGCTGAAGCTTGTTACTGTAAACACATTCAATTTTTGGTGGAATGAAAAAAAAAATTATTTATTGTCGCCTGCATGAAAAACTTGCATCTGCATTTTCTCCGCCCTATCGAGAGTTTCATAAACACTACGATAAACTAAGTAAACGCTCTCGTACAGCATTCCCACTCCAAATTTGTTTGTAAGATTTGACATTTGATTCGTGTTCATTCAAAAAAAAAAATAGTCGTAATTTTAGGGCTGAAAATACCAAATCAAGCTTTCGCAGAATAGCATGTTGAGTGTAAACAGCCAAATGCAGATTTACTCAACGAAAACTTGATTTCTCAGTCAGTTCCATATTTTTGTCTATAGTATCAGAAATACGATAAATCTGTTATACATAAGATATAGATGCTATGGACATTTTCACAAATTCGTGTATTCAACGGACTGCAAAGTTAATATTTGTTTGTATATTATGTTGTTTGCTTCTGGTATATCATGACGAATACTATCCAACAAACTTGCATCTTTGTACCAGTGTTGATCATATTTAGATATTCAAATTATATATACGATAATAAAAAAAACAGAATGCACGATAAGACCTTTCTCAACGAAATGTAGGATGCAGAATACAACAATCTCATTACACCTTTTCATTCTACAAATGCATCACAGTCATCGTTCAGGTGAATTTTGTCGAGTCTCGGGCCAACCGGTATCCGATGTTTTGGTATCCGCATATTGGTCACAGGGTCATATCCAAAACCCATTGTGTGACAGTGATTGCTTTCAACTTTTCTACCGGTAATCGAGCCTTGCTTCGAATAATAAAAAAAGTGAATTTGGTTGAATACTTCAATTGAATGGGTATCTAGTCTTTAGCAAGTGGAACTTAATCCTAATATTACACAAATCTTATGTAAATTATGCCACAAACATTAAAGCGTGATACTAGTCTTCGGACACCTATCCATTTTATAGACTTGAATGCATTTATTATGAGCTTGTCGTAGAACAGTTTCGAATTGACTGCTCTAAACTTTGTATATGAGTTTATTGAAAATACAAGACCGTGAAGTAGGCTACTGTTATTCATTAGGCTTTACTGAGATTGTCAAGTCATCGTGGTCTATTCGAATGAAAACCTTCTACAATGACACCCGATAGGAATCTCAATGACTTTCAGCTCGCAATCTCCTGTCTTAGAATCACAACTCGAGAACGTTATCGATGCAGATTTTCTCATTATCACTGATTCTTCCGTTGTCAATAGTTCAGATGCTAAGCTAAAATCTTCGTTACCGGTAGCAATATTAATGCATCCTTGGCAGAGACATCGGGCAAACAAAATCTTTTCCGGGAATCTAATAAAAATAAATGGGCACTTTTAAGATTTCGTGTTTTTGAAAAAATAATATGCTGTCTAGTTATGATACTTGTGATAATGTAATAATAATAATAAAATTTGTGTGATAAATATACCGCTTACAAGCAAAAATGCTAAAATTGAGGTAGTTTATGAAGTATAGCATAGAAACTGAAAGGTTATTACGTATAAACGATATCGACTTACATGTTCCCAAAATTGAGAACAATTTATTCCAAATGTTAACAAACAAGATAATAACCTGAGTGGGTCATAGTCGACGTAGTAATCCCAAGGAGAAATGCTCATTTGATGTTTCTCTTTTCCCAATAAACTCGGTTCACACGTTGGTCTTCCTAAAATTTGAATTTTTGAATGCTTTTATTGATAATCATAATAAAAATATTCGAAAACAATTTGAAGGTAAAAAAAAAGACAAAGCTAATCTCAAATGACATATCAATATTTGAACCCAATATTTCGAATAGACAAATGTTGTTCTTTGGGGGTAATATCTTTATATTATTTTTAACTGAAACGTTTGTTTTAACTAAGACTGTTTAGGGTGGATAATCACACGTTTTGGCATATGAAAAAAAAACGATGAAAACATAAATTTTCAATTTTAAACTCTTTCATCTTTATATTAAAATACTTTAGTAAATATCACTCTAAAACTTTGACCAGAAAACCAGTTTGAAAACATTTATTTTTGGTCAGTTTTTCAAATAAAATTTCTCTAAATTTCAACATTTGCTATTTTGTCTGAAAAACCTCGTATTCACATATAATAGGTTTGAGAATGAGGATGGAAAGATATATGTCAGTTCACCAGACTTTAAATTGGCAGTCATAAACTTTGCAACATATCACCAAATTCAATACAATATGGATTTAAATTCGAAATACTACTCATGTAGCATCGTTACTCCGATGTTATTTACCTGCAGGTTTGCCCAATTTCACGGGTATTCCGGGAAAAATCGCTTCTAGATTCTCTATTCTAGCAGGAATCTTCTCTATCATCGTGATTGTAGTCGGCGGTGGTGTTTCAGAAACTACCAACATTCCTCGCGAACCGTCGTCCCTACCTGGTTGAATCGAATTATAATGCCAAGAATTTTCTTCTGGCCTTTCAATGCGTAGATCGTTTCGCCCTTTTCCAGTTATCCTATCATACAAAAGATTTGTTTGTTCATTTTCATCACTAAGATTCGTATTCTCTGACAAAACTTCAGATTCGCGGACGCGAAGATTTTGTATTGCGGGATATTCGATTTCGTATTCGATTTCCACTATGTCATTTCCATTATAGTCACACGGTCTTTCCACATTCTTTATATCGGTATCCTCACTTAACACTCCAGTTATGGGGTTGTGAATATTTTGTATTCTAGGTTTTTCAATTTCATCTTCGCTTTCCATTGGCAATACCGGATCATGATCATATGACTCAATTAACTCACTCTTGAAATGCGGACTTAATGAAATATATCGACAGGCCTGGCGCAGTTTTCTATCCACGAACATTTTGCACTTTTTCCTTATTTCCGAACTCCCTAATTTCTTATAACCTTTGACAGAAGAAAATCGATTTACAGAACACCAACAGACTGAAAATAGCGTCAGTAATAACACCAAACGAACAAAATAAAAATATATCTTCACCATTTCTGTTTGAGGTTATATCCAACTATTTCACAATAGACACGAGATTACCCATTAGAATCAGTTCTGCGTTTCGAAATCGTAAAATCTTGAAGATTATGTTGTTTACGGCATTTGCGTCACGCTGGCCACCCTTTCCCCCGATCACAGCAAAGCGTGACGGCGAAGCTTCCATGCGTAAAGCACTACTTATAAAATGCTTAGTCCTGGTGGCATCATCAAATCCATCGCCTGTTCCAAAATAAATTTTCTCAATGTCTCGCGTAGTTTCATTAGTATGATATCGAGTTGAACAAGTATAAACCGCTAGATAAAAATATATTTGGACTGAAATTAACTATAATTTCAACTGAAGGGCGAGAAAGATAAACATTGAGTAAAATTGTATGCAATCAGATCTTCAAATCATTGACAAAATTAGTAATTACTGAAAGCTTATTGGCGACACCGAGTGACTAAACTTCGTTGAAGAATGCAAAGGTCAACTATTACGAAATCTTTAAATTGAAGGAAACCACAATTATTAATGCTATTGCGTTGAAATTTAAGGGAGTTAGTCATTTTCTGAACGCTTCGCAAAGAAGATCGGCACAATCACAAGACTTACATATATCAGATTATTTTTGGACAAAACAAAATCGACGGAAAGTGCACGAACCGCGAATTTGGAATTTGAAAGCCAAATCTACTTTACGTAAAGATAGTATATAGAAGTAACACGTTTACGCCGTTAACTTAGTAGTCTGCGTAAAAATAAACAAACGAATTATAAGGCCATTAATGAACGAAACATTAGCGTAAAGTAATTGCAAGATATTTACTGCTGTCACGACTTTCTATCCTTAATAGTATGAGTAATAAAAAAGAGTGATTTTCGAAACGTTAGATATTTTATTCTTGCTCACAAGATTTATAATTAATCCACGTTTAATTTTAATATGAAGGATTTTTATATGAAATTATCTCAAATCTAAGAAAAACAATTAGTTTTCATGATATTCAACTTATAAATAATTACTTGTCCAGACATATCATATCACTTCGACTTTTCTAGGCAAACGAGTTGGTATTGAATATGCTGGATAATTTTGTTCAGACCAATGTGAAAGTCAAGTAAAAAAAAATCATCGAGTTTGTTTGTCAAACTGGTGATCATTGTGGATTAAATTTGAAGCACAGATACTTTGAAAATGTTTCAAGGCGTGGTCGTGAAATTCTAACCAAAATCGTATAGTAATATTACATATGATGTTGTTGCAGTTCAGTTTCATTGCTTCTCCTCGTCCTTCATGGTATCAATACAGTATTGCATTTTCTCTGTGAAATACCATTATTATATTTCATTTTCGCAATTTATTTTTTTATCGAAATGTCGGACTCGGTCAACTGTTTTTCTGAAAACATCTATTTGTTTCTATGTTCGTCATAAGCCTATCAGACACTGATGCATCACACATGTCTCCCAACTATCCTTCTAGCATAAATACTCGTCGAGTAATGCAACATTCAGTATTCGGATTGGACAAGGAATTGTTTTGGTAAAGCAGTATTACGAACAAATTTTATTATTATTTGTACCACCGCGCAGTATCTAAACAATATATATATCTCATCTATGCCTCCAGCACTTCATGTCCAATGCTCCCATGCCACAAAACACGACTTCGACGTAAATCTAAGTAAGTCAATAAATTTAAAATGCAAACAACGACTAATATTTTTTCATTGTTATTCCTAATCTGCTTTTTTGTACCTAAATTCGCAAAAAAACACGAACGAAACAGTTGAAGCACGCTGTGGTATTTTATTTAATTACTGAAATCAACGAACTTGGAAAAATAATAATTTACTGAACTATATAACCAAAGTCAAGAAATATCATAAATATGAAAAAGCAAAAGTAAAAATAAATTATTTTGGACATAACATAAACACAAATGCAGGGCATTCATAAATGCGGAATATTGTGCGCATAATCAGAAAATAAATAATAAATATCGGACGTACAGTGGGCTTATGAAAAGTTCATTCGCAAAAATGGTTTGTGCATTAGAAGGAGTAACTTGTGGCCAGTCGTGGAAATTGGCCAATCGCTCTTCAGTCTTACAATGGCAATTTTGCCTCTGGGCAAGAACAAGATACGTGATATAGTTACGAGGATACCAATGCCCACCAAAGAAATTTACGACATTACTTAATTAGATTCTGTTCCTCGCTTTCACTCGTCTTCCACTGAATGAAACAACGATTCTTCGAACATCCTCATTCCAGTTGCAAGGTCGTTCAGGGACTAAGCTCAACTGGAATTGCACAATGACAACCAACCGCAATATCCTCGTCGGAAGCGTAGCACGTACTATCGGTGCATTGACGAAATGATGAATGAGTAGAATTCATGCGAAGAAATCTGACTTTAACTTTAATTTCTTTTGAAACAAAAGCTTTATTTTCTTTTCCTGAGCGTTGGTCTATACACCCCTTGCACATACATCTTGCGACAGGAATCCACTGGGGATACCTAAATGGTTGGAACAAAAGTAGGGATTAGAATTAAACAATGAAATAGAACGAAGATGGTGTTTTAGGATACGATACACACTATTAATTGCGTAATATCATCTCACACATTTTCCAAATGGCATAAAATACACATTAATTACCGCATCTCACGTTTTACAAAGATTGCGTTAGTGATGCAACTTTTACTCTTTAGAAATTGACCTTCTGACCGAAAAACGATATAAATGACGTCACAATGCCCTTATGTATAAATATATTATGACGTGTAGCATTTATATAGAAATATATTCATTGTATATATAAACCAATTATGCAATATGCAAATGGGACACTCTAACACACCAAAATTGCAAATTTATATTGAATTGACTATTCATTACTTGAACTTGATGAGTGATTTATAATTTTATTCATGTAAGTAATGAGAAAAGGCCAAATCAATTTTTGAAATAATCGACGGATCTGATTCCATAATTTACGTGCAGAAGCTAATGATCAACGCAAAACGAAACCTGATCTTTGCTAGTTCAGAAGTCTTATTACATTGAGCCAAGATGTTTGATTAAACGACCCTTGTATACGAAACTAATATGTTAGGCAAGTTGAATCCATGATTTCGGTGTATTCTCATGCCAAATTTAAATGAAATGATGTAGATTTTACGTTAAAATTTCGGGATATTTAGTCATGGTAATGCTATAGAATATATGTATTGTTAATTCGAAATGGGAAAGAGTATTAATGAACAAAACGAAGGAAATACAATATCGTTTAATGAATTCGTATATAAATGTAATTGTGAAAGGTTAAAAATGCATAATCCGGATGTTGTACATTTGTATATTTTAGTTCGTAAGTGCGCTATTGATTGACCGTATTAGTTGAACATGTTTCATCCGTGGCCTACGCTTTGTTTAATTTTTGTGTACTCATTCGATAAACTTAGAAAAATCATCATTTTATGATGCTTCGGAATTCGACACGTTTGTTTGCATAAAATGTCAACAAATACTTTGATATTTCAATTTTTGTTCCGATATGCAAATTAAAAATTTGAAATTAGAAATTATATTTCGTGCATATAATAAAAATGAATTAAATTCAAAAGAATATGAAAGCGAGGAATATTTTCGATTTTATTATTGGAATTATTTTAGTCTAAACATATCACGTTTTTCTTTATTAATTTCGATATACGTTGTTTTTTTCTGTGGATTTTAATATTTACGAAATACTTATGGGCGTTTCTGAAGACAGCGAGGCCGTAATACACCATGCCAACTTCCAAAAGTTTACTTCTTGGAACAAATCTGACGTAAAGTTATAATTTTTCGGGGCAATACATTACGTACATTCATCCAATTATCTAGTTTAAGGCTTCCGATATCGCTTACAATTAGCAGATTCAACGACAAAATTGTTGATAAAATGGCTTCGAAGACAGACATTTTATTGTTAAAGTATCGTAAATAAAATCAGGGATTTTATCAAAATGCTGATTGTTAAAAAAACGTTGTTTAGCTGCGATAGCGTTTTACGGCATATGACGTGATTTTTTTTATTCAAAAAGTATTTTACCGTTTTCCAATCTCAACTTTGGAGGTGTGGCCCCATATTACCGACACCCATTTTTGTAGGACCATGACTATGCATTGTAAAATTGTTTGATGATCGGTAATGCTAATCTTAATAGAGATTTAAACTGCCTGTGACATAACCATTGACATTTGTCGTAAATATGCTGCGTACGAGGTACGTGCATATCTTAAATAGTAATCACATGTCCCTCCTTGCATTGAAATACAAACTAGTGTCTATAAATAAACGTACTTTCCTAAAAACAGAGTTAGGTACCATGGTAAAGATTCAATACAAACATTGATATGGTATCACATTGTTGTAAAAATAAAACTGACTTCTAAAAATAATATTAAACGTGTATTTACCTTTGTACGTCAAAATCTGGCATCATTTTCCAAGGGGATAAACTTCTATCGTGAGGTTGTACGTACGGGGTTTGATGTGAATAATCCGGACATTTTAACCCTTGTTGTCCTTCCAGAGGTATATCGCTCTTTGTTATCTGAGTCGTCCACGGCAGTTGTTTGAGATGTCCACGAACTTTTTCTTTCATTGACACAATAATAGGATTTTCAGCAATTCTCTCACACAATTGTCTTAATCTTGGCGTTGGAAAGTATTCACACTGTCTCAATAAACCTTCGTGATTTTTGACATCTGGTCGTGATCTCAACAAACTTTCCCTGGTAGTATATTCTGGCATCGTAATAGTTGATTGAGTGTTCTGTATTTGAAAGTGTGATTCTGGGTAGAGAATACTTTTGGCAGAAACTGAATTTTTCAGTATGTGCACTAACATCCACAATATACCCAATCTCAATACTCTAATCACGTTCATGACACTTCGCGTTCTAGACATCCTGAGGGCAACGAGGTGAAATAAATGATTTACACAGATGTTCGTATAGTGTTGCCACTTTTTCTCTTTCGCTGCGCCGTGAAGAAACGCAAATAGTTAAAATTTCGTGGACTGGTAACGTTTTGTAGCTTTCGGCGCGAGAAAAAGGCGGAAAAAAGAGAAACTGAAAGAACTAAAATTGACCTCAAATAAATTAATGTCGTGAATCTACAGGAAATATTGGCGTGTCTTCGATACCATCACAATCACTCATATAAAATTTTATTATGAAAATATTTTCGGTATTTATCGTGAGCCAATTATGTTTAAATCATACATGTTGTCATAATGAAACTATACCCTCAGTAGTTTATATGTTGAAACTATTTTCTATGAGTTTGATATATAAACCTTTGAATCTTTTGGGCAATAAATATTTTAATATGATCGGTAATTCCCTAACCTCGAAGCGTTATGACATCAAGTTAAATGGTATCTACAACGAGCTATCCTTACAACGCTATTTTAGTCACAATTTACAGTACCAACTAGTTAAGATGTTATCGCCTAATCAAGTTTGTTTCGACAATTTCGTTTCTATTTCTGTACTGCATATAATGAAATACTATGTTGGTCGACGACAATCTTAGAAAACCATAATTAGGTCGAGAGTTGCTTGTGTTCATATGTATCATTTATTCAGACAGTTTACACATGCTAAAAGTTTATATTTTGTATAATAAGTGATTCCTTTATCCTCTTGGTGCGACGATAAGCTAACGGCGTGATCAAAATTGCAAGTTCCAACGGGTGACAAAATGGGCAAAAATAGAAATAACGTTTGAAAGAACAGCGTATACCATGTTATAACCGTATGGTACGGGAGTAATGACAAATAAATGCATCTCGACAATTGTAGATCGTTTAGCAATCATTTCATGACGTAATGGCCGAATAAGTCGATATACAGAACCACATATCATAAAAATAGAATCTTTCACCGTGATCTGATTTTGGTGTTTAAACATTACTTCCGATTCAATTACCCTATCTATCAAATTGCTGCCTCCGTATCTGAACGTAAAATCAACTGATTACGTTAACTTAATTTTCCCCACAAAGACCTACTATATTAAAGGCAAGTTCGCCGAAAATTGACGGCGTCCCTCGCCATTGTCTGGAAAATATTACAAATATTACTCAAACATTTTATTACGCAATCCAATAAAAGGAATGTTCTGCATTTTCGTTCACGATAAGATTTTCAATTAAAAAATTGTCGAATAAAATAATAACAACATTGATATGTTTAATTAGAACAACGAAACTTCATGACGAAAATGGTGTAAATTTCTTTCGAATATCATCACGTAGCGCGAGGCATACCCGAGAGTGCGATTTATTAAAATTTGAAGTTATAAAATTTCATCATTTCAATAGATTAAATATGCTATAATTGCGAATTTATTGAATAATATAGGATATTTACCCTGAATAAAATTGCACAATACGAATCTACAATGCCAATTCTTTTACTATAAAAATTGATTACAGGACGTTTCGCGACACTTACTCGAAGCGACAATTGAATTTTAAAATGGATGAAACTCTTCATTATTTAATTTGACTCAATATGTGGTATTTAACTAATTAACGAAGAATACGATTCCCGGAGTATTGGATCGAACGTCACAACTGCGATAATCAAGGCACGCTTTGCGTCAAGAAATATTCAAATCCGGTAAGAACATGTTATCTAATCACAACAGCGCATTATTATCAAAATATAAAGAATGGAAAGATAATTTGGTAATTACATTTATATTGTTTTGTATTTCACGACAAAAGAAAAAAATTATACAGATATACCTTGCATTCAAGAAATTGCGTATTTACAGTTTATAAAAAATGTTGATTTTACCATTACATCAAACTGACTGTACATTCTCTCCATTTAATCTAAAAATATGCGGTAGAAATACATGTAATTAAAAAAGCGACAAGCATGAAAATGTTTCGCGAATCCAGGTAAGCTTACTATTCTGACAATTAACCAAGTCGAATTGTTCGCTGACTCCTGTATATTGAAACACATTTGAAAGTAGATAGTATGGCCTGATTTTCAGTGCAATGGTCCAGCAGCAACAACTTGGGAGGTCTCGGAATCGATCCGCATGCGCGTATGTCGTCGATTAATCCAAAATACTAGAAAGCATAATATACCTATGAACATAGCGACTTGCATGTATACTTGAAAATGTACATTAGGGGATATTTTGACATAATATGCATGTCAAAAAGTCGTAGCACTAAACTATAAAATACCATCGGGAATATGTAACACAACAGGTTCAATCAGAAATATTTTCTGTGTACACCGAAAAGTACATATATATATATATATAAATATATACAATATATACTCATTTCTATGAGTTTTTGAAGATTACTGGATGAAAAGAAATATTATATATGGCTGGATAATAATCAAGTTGATGTCAACGTACATTGCTCAGATTTGCGTTCCGTAGTCAGAGTGCGTAACAAAATTTATCAAACGGAAAATTGTCCTTCACGTGGACGAGGTATGTCACATTTTCTTACATTATAAACATCAATAGGAAAATCATAGCCTTTTATTGGCCGATTTGGCCAATTCGTGTCAGGTATTACTACAAAGTTGTATTCTCCTTTCAAAAAGTCTGAATTAAACTTTATTATATATATACTGTAAAGTGAAGATTACATTTTACTGGTGGCAGTGACACTTCAAAAAATAGGCAGTTACAAACGAAAATTATAGTTGGTTAGCGCTTTGAAGCATTAAGCACCTGTTGGGTTCAAAAATAGTTAAGAAATCGATCTCGCACGTGTTACGTACTGGTATGTCACAAAGGTTAGGACAGAGCTGTCACATGGAAATACAAAAACGAAATTGTTCACTGTCAACGATGCAAAAACACAATGTTTGTCGTCTATCATCTAAAAAAAAGAATGCATAGATAATCGACAAGTGTTTTTATAAATCTTGATGTTCTGACGAAGAACATCATCTAAATCATTAATAATTATGAACATTAATTTTTTCATGAAAATAAACATTCGTTGTATCATATTATTTTACATAAAAGTAATAATCAAGCTCTACAAGAAATTCAGAACCACCATTTTGTTTCCAGATATTTCGCCCCCTACTTGACGTACTTGTGTAAGTACATAATTGGCTGGACTACATAGAATTTACATGTATCGAATAAGAGATATAATCATACTAAATGAGCAAAATGGAGGAAATACCAAGCGAAATTTATGCTCTGCACGAAATCTCGATTTAAAAATATTTTGATTAGAAATTTTTCTCTGTAGAAGTCATCAAAAAACCTCATCTGAAAGTTCTAATACCAACACTTAATGAGGCTACAACTCGCTATATTGAGGCTGTAAGATAATCCGGATTAGGATTCCGGTGGGATTGCAGGTATTAAAGAGAAGTATATTTGTATTTTATTGAACTGTTGTGCTTGTATAAATAGTTTTTATCCCACATGTTGCAATATCAGAATATATGAGATCGCTGAATATGCTCAAACCCCAGACATTTAAATTCAATCTAATTCAAAGTCAGAAGAAAAACCACAAAAATGTCCGGAATATCCAAAATTTTCCGAATTGCAATTACCTAACTTCAATACACTTTAATTTCACACAAAAGCAATCGACTATTGATGTAGTTTGTGATACTTAGTGTGAAGCACTTCCCAAGTTAATCTGTTTGTAATTTGAATATTTCACTTTTGCGTTAACTAACTCATTTACCTTATTAGAGAAGCGACTAATTAAGCTAAACGTTGTCGAGAGCGTCACTTGTTCATTCATTTTTCAAAGAACCGAGACAAACCGACACTATTGCCTATACCGAAAGCAATTGTATTAAATTGATACCAATTCGATCACAATTTTTTACCGTGAAAGTCATCCCTAATGTTACAACCGACGTTTTTTTTCGATTTTCGGATTAAATTTTTCAGATGCGTAATTGAAATAACAATATTCTGTATAGGTATATATAATACATGAGCGCTATATTCGTCAAATATTCCAATCTATCAAACACTTCAATATGCATACGGCACTACTTCGTTATGTTAGTTCGTCATTGTTTTCGGGCCGTCCAGGTCAACAACGACTACAAGCGGGTGCGCACAACTCCATGGATTGCTACCAAATAGTTCGATTACCAGGTCGGCTTGGGCAACCGACATTCTCACTCACAGAAAGCCGGCCGTATATGTACGTACATATGTCTTAATACCAGATAACGTGAACTGTTTGCAGTGGTGGTAGAGTGCCCGATTGTGTTCTTAGTTTTGTTGAAAAATTTACTTAGTTCCAACTCAGATCAAAATGATTTTCAAAGTTCATGCACTGCGAAGATTTCCTAATCTATTCGTTGAAATAAATCCGCAATGATCTAGCAGTCCAATAAGAATCCATGTGGTGTAAGTCTATGCATGTAGAATTCTCGAACTTAACACATTAACTAAAACAAATATATATATCACACTATTAGCATTCAATTCGTAAATAGTGTTAGTCCACTTCTACTTCTCCGCAATAGTGTTAAATTGGTATTAGGCATGTAAGTTTAACCGGTCGACCATACTGTGAAGTTTTATATCAGACTCGCTGTCTTTCCATGTTGACTTTAAAATCTTTGTTGCAAAACTCACATAGGTATGAAATATTCTTCTGGTGAGCGAGCGAAACCTATACGAGAGTTTGAATCACAAAATATTTTATGATCTCATTCCTCGACATAAAAAGCACTAAAATTGAATTCCGGACATGCTTGTTCACTTCAACAAATTGGCTTTTGGCTTGTTTCTCTTACGTCAGTGGTATCTACGGGAAGTTACAGAAACCTCAGAATATTTTTTTTCTTTAAAGTTCGTTTAAAAATTGAAATGTGTAGGCTATGGTGGTTAAAACTATTTAAATGCTTGCGTGAGTCAAAGAAGGCAATACAGCATGTGAGCTGTAGCTGTTTTTTACCCAATTTCCTGCACTTGATGCCGCTTGCTTTACAATATACTGGCTTAATGATGCTTACACATTCAATGCCTTCAATATTGAACTAACC